CTCGAATCCCCATTGGAAGTTCTTGGGGACCAATAACTTGGAATCCCATTGGGAGTTCTTGGGGACCAATAACCTGGAATCCCCATGGGAAGTTCTTATGGACCAATAACCTGGAATCCCCATGGGAAGTTCTTATGGACCAATAACCTGGAATCCCCATGGGAAGTTCTTATGGACCACTTCTAACTCAGAATCCCAACATTAAGTTTCTGGGGTCCAGTTCTAACCCAGAATCCCAATGCTAGGTTCCTGGGGACCAATTCTAACCTGGAATCCCCACAGTTGCCTTGTCCTGATATGAGTAAGCATCTTATCAATTATTATTAAAACGTGAAATTATTTTAAGTTTAATTTTTTTATCTTCAGTTTTCTTACTCATAAAAATTAATATAGTATTTTTTATTTTTATTTTTTTCTCATTGTGCAAGTGTCAGCTTAATTTCTCTTTAAAACTGTTACCATGGCTACCATTAAATCACAGTCAATCATTCCTAATCCCGTCAAATCTTCTAGGAGTGAGTTCAGTTTAATGCCACTAGTATTTCAGTTATATCTGTGTGGGAAGAGACCTAAAGGTGACACAGATGCCCACCAGCTTTTCTACGTTCATGAGAACCTCAAGTTGAAGTAAGAATTTGCCCAATGTGCCGGAATAATTGTCTTGACGATGAGCTTCACATCTTACTAACCTGTATCATGTATTCAGACAAAAGTTACATTTAAGTTCGGATTGTTCAGCAATATATTTGAATGATGATGGTGTTTTATCTGATGTACAGAAGTTCTGTTTTTAAAGGACAACAGGGACATCAGTAAATACTGTCAGAACCTTTATCACATTAAGCTCCACCTTGAGCATTGTTACATCCTTAATGAGTGTGCGGGTAAATACTATATGTTATGCATGGCAAATTGCAGCACCTCAGATGACTGGGCCACCCTTGTATGAAGATGCAGTACATATCACTTTACTATGAGTGAGTGAGTGAGTGAGCGAGCGAGTGAGTTGGGTTTAACGCCGCTTTTAACAGTATTCCAGTTATATCACGGCGTGTCAGCTTAATGTGGGAGGAAAGCCCCAAGTGATGCAGGTCTCAGACATTTACCACTTCAGTGAAACCCATGGGCACTGGTATGGTGTTGACAAACCTAGAAACATAATCGGGGCGAACCGGGATTCGAACCCACAATCATAGGTTTGTGGCGTGCCCAAAGGAAGCAACTCTGCACAGCGAATCGCGGCGCCTTAGACGACAGGCCAGCTATGACTTCCAGGATGTCACTTAAAGATATATTAACAGTTGGTTTAATATTGATATTTTTGTTACAAGTAAATGGAGAGGGCAAACAAGATCACTTACAACTATCCTTACTTATTTTCAGGCTTGTGACTTATAATTGGTCAGTCTAGAAATATAACCATCAATAAAGTTTAAAACATAACGCGAATCGGGCTCAGAAACAACAGGAAAAAAATAATCAACAGCATATTCTTTTCTATTTGGAACTGCCTGTTTATGCTCATTTTAAGATACAGAAATCCGCTGATTTTATCCCGATTGCTACATTCCATACCAAGAAATTAGAAAGGAATTTAGTTGGAATTTTTTACTTGGTATCTGGGAAACACTACCAACATGATCAACCCAACCTGTGTCTTTGTAAATCAAGACTCTTGAGATACATTGGGGATGCAGAAATCCGTTACAAGAGAAAAACCTCATCTTCCTGAGGCAAAGGTATTAACTGACTATAAAAGTCTAGCCTACCTTGCCGAACTAGGCTAGCATAATGGAGTTATTTTTGGGCTGGAATAATGAGTCTATGCATAGTCCAATCAAAACTGCGTAAACTGCCGTACAGATTTTGTTAAATTGCAGGATTTGCAAAACATGTGTACCGCCAACTTGGCATCAACAGATATTTTCCAAATCACTTATTATGTTTTTAATCAAAGTGCTTACGTGGTTTGATGCACTTCACGAAGAAAATTCCGTTTTATTACAATACACATTTTGATTATCGAACTTGCCTGGGCGCTGCCATTTTGTTTGAAGTAAATGTAAGTGATATGAGAGGTGGAATCTGGTCAATCGGAGGGACAAAGAAGGGACATAACTCGTAATAGCAACTGGTGGCACTTTGATGAAGCCCAGAAATTCCAGCCTAGTTCGGTTAACGCCCTTGCCTCGGGAAGATGGAAAGTCCTCTTCTGAATAATAACTAGTGAATGAGACTCCTCAGGCTGACTGGAAAGTTTCTTCTGTATCTCTCTTTGTAAAGGTTTACCCGTTTACATTACTTTAACATGTGTCTAGGTTGTCTAGATATATCCTAGCAGGGGAGACGCTGGTTGGGCGACGCACACACTACTGTGGCGATCAAACCTAGTTCATCATCATCATAAATTGCACCCATAACTTACATCAGAATTTACACCTGCAGCAGAACATTTCTACAGTTTTTTGCTCTGTTGAAGAATAAAGAAAGGAATATGCCTGTCACCATGTTTTTGTAATTAGTTTATATTACAGAACTTCAGGGATTTATCTGATTCTATGTTTGAGTCACAGAAATGTTTTTTTGAATTCCAAGAAAAGAAAGGTGGGAGGCTGGCGATATGTAACTTTATAAAATATTTACTGATGATAAGAATCCTATAGCCTGTGATGGAAGAAGGGGATTTCAATGTTTGATACAAGAATATCAACCAACTCTGAACAGGGTCATCTTCCTGAGGCAAGAGAGTTAACTGAGTGTAAAAGTCCACTTTCCAACCTTGCCGAACAAGGCTAGCATAATGGAGTTAATTTTTGGCTGGAATAATGAGTCTATGCATAGTCCATTCAAAACTATGTAACGAAATCAACATCCAGTTCGTAAACTGCCGTAGAGATGTTGGTAAATTGCAGGATTTGCAAAACACGTGTACTGCCAACTTGGCATCAACAGATATTTTCCAAATCACTCGTTTTTAATCAAAGTGCTCACGTGGTTTAATGCACTTCGTTAAGTAAGATCCATTTTATTACAATACACATTTTGATTATCGAACTTGCCTGGGCGCTGCCATTTTGTTTGAAGTAAATGTAAGTGGCAAGAGAGTTAACTGACTATAAAAGTCCACTTTCCACCCTTGCCGAACCAGGCTAGCATAATGGAGTTATTTTTTGGCTGGAATAATGTGTCTATGCATAGTCCAATCAAAATTGCCCAACAAAATCGAAATCCAGTTTGTAAAACTGTCTTGCAGATTTCGGGCGATCGCAGGATTTGCATAGGATGTGTACCGCCAAATTGGCGTAAACAGATATTTTACAAATCTTTTTCTTGTTTAATCAAGGTGCTCAAGTGATTTGATGCACTTCGCGATGTAAGACCCGTTTTATCACAATACAGATCTTCATTATCGATCAGATAATCTTGACTGGGCGCCGCCATTTTGTTTGAAACAAATGCAAGTGATATGAGAGGTGGAATATGATTGGTCCATAGGAGAGGTTTAGAAGGGACATAAGTCGTAATAACCACTGGTGTCGCTAGGATCAAGTGTAGTAATTTCAGCCTAGTTGGGCAAGGGTGGAAACTGGACTTTTAAAGTCAGTGAACTCTCTTGCCTCGGGAAAATGGAACAGGGTGTACTTTTGACCAGATTAGAAATGTAAGTTATACACTACATACAATTTACAGGTTTGATTTCAGGACTCACAATGTACGTTATGTTCTTCCATTCAGTCTTGTTGTGTACAGGACACAATCTTTGTGTCAGATAAAACCCAGGAACTTTCATAGGCTGAGACTATTATTTAAATACCAAAATGTATATTTAATCAGTTAAGTGAAAGTTTCGAACACCAGCACATATGGCACAAGTTGAGTCACAACACCTTCCCACAAGAAGAACCTTAAAACACACTTTCCCAGAGCGCTGTCGACCATACTCTGTATAGGAACTCTGATCAAATCTTACAACAAAATATGTTTTATTTTGAAAACTTAACATCAGCTTCAATAGAAGAATAAATACTTAAAATGTTTGAACATCTGTGAAAAAAATTCACAGCCATATAAAAGTCTGTATAAACACAGGGCTGCCTCACTGACTTTGGCACATGTTCAAAACACCCACACTGTTGAGGCCAGTTTTCTGAGCAGCCATTCAAACCGACCACTCCAGTCATGGAATCACAAGCACATCAAAGCTTGCTTGGAGGGGTCACTTTGACCTGGTCTTTCGGACAGATTGAACAAAATGGACATTTGCAGCTCTGTATATGGGAGTCTTGCAAAGAGGGTGGCCTTGGACTTAGTTCCTGGAAAATCCCAGCTGGAACCACAGATGAGACACATGAAGAAGGAACAAGCAGCTGAAAATAGACTGGTTCACCTTCCAACACAAAACACCAGCAAACCATTCAGGGTGGTTGTGGAGATCTTTCTTTCCAATACAAAAACAAACACTGTGGCTTCTCTAGGAAGACGATCACACACTAAAATTTCAGGGCTACAGGATGAAAGGCTTGGTCAGGTTTCCCTGAAACACGTTATAATATTGCAAGACACAACCATGGTATGTTGCTGTGGTTACGGTTTCAAGCACATTTGGCACCACCATGTATCCCAGATAATGAGATCGACGTCATGGTTACCGGCGCCACACACCGTGATTGGTTTCACCACATTCACTTGCTGGTTAGACTGCAAGGGGCATCGAAACTGGAACAACATATTCATAATGTTGATGTTCAATTTTGAGAGGACCAATTCCTCTGTACCTGCACTTCACACAACAAGAATGCACGCCAAAGGATGGAATTTTGATGAGGGAGTCAAGAAGGTTTTGTAGAGTTACAAAACTGTCTTGTTGACTTCCAAAGGGTCACGTTTCTCACCAACCACCAGCGAGTATTCCTTGAAATACAACTTCTCACATTTTCACTGCTGTTCAGCGAATGCCTTCCTGGACTGGGGAACGATTTCATCAAACAATCAAAATCACATTAATTTCACACATGTACGTTTATTTCACATACCTAAAAGAATGAGTACACATCACTTGCGGAAGCAACAATCACAAGTAAAAACCACCTGTCACAATATTGAAGCACTTGTCCACAAAATATAATTAATTCAAATTTCTTGATCCAACATGGCTCCTTCCGGACTGAGAAATACTCACAAAAACACAGGCTATATATTAATCAGTATGCCATGCACTTAATACACAACACATATTATCTTGCGATCATCGGGGAAAGCGCCTCTTCACACTACAAGCTGAATAACTGTAAGCCCTAAACCAACATAAACCATGGCAGCAGAACCGGTAGCTAGATTCATCACTTTCAACACATCCTACACTGCTGTCTCCGTGAACATTTTCCAGCATTCTAATTTCCAACTTTGACAACATCTTGTAATTAATTTTGAACACAGTGAATCAGCTCATTTTCCCCCAAACCAATGAATTTCCGAAACACTTCTTTCGTTTTTTCACAAAATTGAGTTCATTGTGGAGAACTTCCTAATTGGCATACTTTCTGCTGGAAAAGAAAGTTCCATCCACTAAGAAATCTAAACGTTGTCATTGTTGAAAATTGTTCTGTGTGGAACTACACAACAACCCTTGCAAACACTGTATAAAACAAACTAACGCTTGGCGAGATTCGTGTGACACTTCCCATGAACAATTTCTTCAAATGGCTTCCACTGCTTGGAATGGCAGTTCATGGAACACACTGTTCAGTCCCACACACAGTGGTTGGGTTGAATAACCACGTCACAAGGAATATTTGGCTCATAGAAGCTTTCCTTTCCAATTCACCATTTGGCACAGTTTTCACACATCCATATTTCAGAATCAATTCCCAGTATTTATGTCTTCTATATTCAGAATCCTCACAGACGATCTCTCCTCTGAAACTGTGTCTTTGATGAACCTGTAAAAGTTTCAAACAATTACTTTATATAGATAGAAACAACACAATCGCTGATCATGATAATAACATAATTCAGCGTTAGAATTTGGCACTAGTCTTATCGTCCTTGCCAAACAGTAAGTGAATATGGTTTTACGCCGCTTTTAGCAATATTCCAGCAATATCACGGGGGGGGGGGGGGGGGGGGGGCACCAGAAATTGGCTTCACACATTGTACCCATGTCGGGAGTCGAACCCGGGTCTTCGGTGTGACGAGCGAACGCTTTAACCACTAGGCTACCCGACTGCCCCCCTTGCCAAACAGCCCATTAGTTAAGGTATCATACATGTCATAAGGACTAGTAGAAATGTTTAAGGGTTTGGCTATATGTTATCATTAAAAAGACTAGTGAAGTAAAATGTTAGTTTCTACTACTGTAATTACAAACATGGAGGTATTATTAAGTTGGTGTTACAACATCTAACATTCTTAATCACGCAAATAGTTGTATCTTTCTGAATTGTTGAAGCAATATTTACTCATTACAAGAAGAAAGCTAATGAACAAACATAACAGGAAGTAAACTAGTTTCAAATTTGAATACATATATTACCTCAACAGGATCCAACAGGCTAGCTGGTTGACTTAAATGACGTACTGAAATGACAAAGACAAAAATATCTGTAAATATCATAAGAGACACAGATTATGCTAATACCTTGATGACAATAGGAGAGTGATTGACAGAACTGTCAGACTACAGATAAATATCTCAGATGATATATGTACATGTCTATGGGAGTTACACACGTCTAAATGTTCAGATTATTTTATAAAAGTGTCTTTTTCAGGATAGAAAATCACAACAAAATTAGAATAAAAAAGGGGTGACAATTCAAACATGTCTGAGAACAAGTGATTAAGGTAAACCCCTACACCGCAGCAATGCATAAGAGTGTACTGTATAACAACACAACAGACATCTGCATGTGTTGGCAGTCTCTAACATGTTTAACAATGTTTGCTCGGTTATCAGTATTCCATTGCTCAACACTGCTGTGAGATACATTCTCGGCACAGCACTGTAGCATGTAAATGATCAAGTCTGGACTAGTCCGTCTGGGAATGTGAGCAACCTCCGTCATTGTCAGAGAGCGATAAGACGTAAGAATAGTGCTGGAGACTCCAATCTAGTTCCAGAAGGGACACCTCGTCATCCTCCATCATACAGGATATTATATCTCTACTCCATAACAATAAATACCCTGGACCTATTTGCCATCATAACTTTGTTTTAGAAAGACGGAGTTGTGTTGAATGCCACTTTGAATAGTATTTCAGTTATATCACTGTATGTCAGCTTAATGTGGGAGGAAAGCCAGAAGTGATGTAGGTTTTAGACATTTACCACTTTACCACATTTTACCACATGAGCATGGGTATGGTGCTGACAAACATTGAAACACAATCAGGGCGAACCAGGATTCAAACCCACAATCATAGGTTTCTGGCGTACCCAAAGGGCACAACTCTGCACATTGAATTGTGGCGCCTTGGAAACCACTGCCCCGTTTGTTTCTGAAGTGACATCATTTTCTCAATATCTCTGTCCAGAACATGACACAAAACATGCACATGGGATTTGAGTGAGTGAGTATGGTTTTACGCCGCTTTTAGCAATATTCCAGCAATATCACGGCGGGGGACACCAGAAATGGGCTTCACACATTGTACCCATGTCGGGAATTGAACCCGGGTCTTCGGCGTGACGAGCGAACGCTTTAACCACTAGGCTACCCGACCGCCCCACATGGGATTTGATTTGATTGACTTCTTACAGAACCATGCTCTTCAAATCAGGCTGACTACAAAGCCATGGTAGTGAATTGGTCCAGTTATTTATCCTAACAGAACAGACAGCCTTCGAAATTCATGCTAGTCTGCTAGCCTGGGACTACTTAATTGTGCTGAGGACAAGTTAGAATCCAAGGATGGTAGCCCTCATTGACTAGTAGCTTTTGAGGGCGATAATTCTGAACCAGTTCTTTATGCCGTGACTTTGCTTCAAAGTGCAACTGAATAAAACTAAAAGAAAATGTCGGCAAATATGGTTGCTAAAGACCTATTCTAACCCACACCTTCACGGGTAACAGCGGACTGTACATACAGCAGACAGGGAGATGTGGGGTGTAGCGGATGTAAGACTTACCTGTATGTCGATGTAGCTGCAGCACCAGGAGGGGAAGATGTGACAGACGACGGAGACACTGCTCTAGCTGCTTAGGCATTGATATAAGAAAACATACAGAACATTCTAAAACAATTACAAACTGTGACATAAATAAATTCATTCTCACCAGAATTAAAATGGAACTCTTCCACTATTCGACATCATTGTAAAAACTAAAACAAAATCTTTATAAAGATACAAATACAGAGTTGCATACCAAATCAGTATTAGCAGTAGTATCAGTACTAGCAGTAGTATCAGTACCAGCAATAGTATCTACAATTCACTGAATGTGCTGAGTCAGCAGAATGTCCACCTGCTCGCAGTCTACAACTGACATCTGCTATGTACAATCGTATAAACAGAGCATAACAAGAACCCTGAAGTCTCAAAACTTAAAAATTATCAGAAAACAATCAACCAGTAACATGCAACATGTGCAGTGTGTTTATAATGTAACCATGGCAACAGCAGACCTCTTAAGGAGTGCGCTGGTAACTGAGGGACCTTGTCAAAAGATCACGAAGCAGGAAAAACAAGTGAATTTAGTTTCTGTTGAGAACATCCCAAAAAAAATCAGCAACCTGTTGGTAATTCCATCATTGTTCATTATCATCTCTAACCATAAAACTTGCCCAGCACAATGTGCCCGCAGTGACAAATACTGCTTCCCTAATCATTGCAATTGGGCAATAAAAAAAGTATATCATGTAAACAGTGCCTCACCCCACCAAAAGAAATATTCTTTTTTCGGCTTCATCGGTTATTTAAAAAGATCCCAAACATAATGAAAAAAAAGAAGATTAAAAATAATAGAAGTGACTGTAAACATGTTTGTTCGGAACCAGTCACCTGGATCTGATAAGAAGACTTCCGCATGAAAACAACACTTCTTCAAGGAGCAAGTTTTACAAGTTCAGGGCCTGTATGCTTTCTTTTGTTCCTGGCTCAAATGACAGATTGTTACAGAACTTAAGTTTACAAGATATAGACATATATCATGTTCTTTTTAGTTTATCAATTAGGCTGAACAAGTATACAGAGATGATTCTGAAACAGTAAATTCTTGCAATTCTTGCCAAATCATGCTTTGTGGAATAAAGGAAACTGCATCAACCACAGTGCCTTAAAAACTGCATCATGCGCGGTGTCTTAACGATGAAGCACCTGTCTCACATTAACCAGCTACTTGACAGCTTTTGTTTGAAAACAAAACGAACATGGTCAAATAACATCAATTGTCACAATTGCAATTACCCTACAATCTCCCTTCTTACCATTTCATATACATCATCTGAACAAACAAAAGACAGGTTCACAGTATTTCTATAAAATACTTATTAAAGATATATGTGAGGGAAATAATCATTTTGCTAAAACGGAGTCAGAACTTGGACAGGATATTGAAGAACAAGTCAAGAAGATGATCAATTCAATCCTGTTTAGGTGTACGAGCGTGAGTGAACTACAATGGTTTCCGTTTCAAATTTTAAATCATATATCGCTAACAAACTGTCTTCTGAATAAATGGGATATGTGGACAGTACAAGTTGTAGCTACTGTTCGAAAGAAGATCTTATACACATATTTTGGGAATGTAACAAAGTTAGCTCCATCTGGCGAGACATGGAAATTTGGATATCTCACAAAACCAAAAACCAGGTAACAATATCCAAAGAAAATTTTCTTTTTGGTTATTTAACAAAAAATAACAATCCTTTAAACTTATCATTATTTTGTCAAAACGAATCATTTTCAACTTTAGAAATAATAAATATCCACCAACATTCCAATTTATACAGAAGGAGCTCACTGCATTTTATAAGTTAACAAAGTATACTTCAGTCATTATTTGTAATAGAGATTACTTTAATAAGCTTTGGTCAAGCTGTCATGCTTTATTTCTGTGAATTATCATACAAAACCATGTAAATGCTCTTATAAAATAACCAAATTACAACAAAAAAACTGGAATTGTCACAATTGATGTTGATTAATGATCCATCACTTACTTTATACAAACACTTGGGAAACCAGAAACTCTTTAAACACACATGTTGCTGTGTACTCCTCATCCCTGCACTACTACACATTCTACAGGTGCGTCTTGCCAGGTACACCCAAACACCCTACACCTATTGCATAAACAGGAGGAACGCAACGCTTCAACGTGATGAAGCTAATGATCCGGTCTCAATCTCTGTGACAACATTCAGAGCTAAGAATAATGTCCCGACATATGGCACCTTTACATAACAAACAATTATTGCATGATCAATTTTCATAATTTCTTAGAATGACAAATGAAAGTATGTCAAGGGTATCAATGTTTCTCAGCGCAAAAGTCTAAGTAAATCACAAGGTTGGTTGTAAAAATAAAGTATAAATCAATACACACTATGCGAAAGATTCAGCGGTGTTTTCTCTTGGTTTTCACAATGATCATAAATATGGTATGTGCTAAACATTTTCTTTTCTAGCCCAAACAAATCTTCATTTTGAACTTTTACAGACAGACTGCTTAATATCATCAGTGCAGCCAGTCGTATTAACTCTACTTTGGCTTCCACTAGAAACATAGAAACAGAGGCACAGACTTAGTTCAGTTGACACTGGACAGGTTTTTCATGGCATACATCAATTGACGTAACAACATTTCTGAATAAAAAACTCAAATTATAGAAATATGAAACATTCGACCGGAACTTAACCTACAAACTCAGGCTGAAGCGAAATCAACTTAAATTCTAAATTTAAAAACGAGATAACAACGACAAGTCTGTCACAAGGTCTTCCCAACCCCAACTAGGCAGCTCCAAGGACCACCACAACCACCAAATAATCTTCTTTAGCAGGATCGGCAGGGAGCTGAGGTGCACGCTTCTGGAGAAAGCTGTATCCAAATGAGCAGGGAGGAAACGCATGAAGCACACCCACATTGTTCTTGTCCTGTGACGGGTTGGGAGGGAGGGAGATCACACCAGCAGCTTCCTTCTGCTTTAGGTAAGTTACCAGATTCTTGAGGGGTCTTGGTTGAATGGATCCACTGGGGTCCTCATAGCTCTGTACAGTACTTGGTAATGCTAACAGGATACAGTGGCCATGTGCCCCAGAGCTCTGAATGCGACGTCCTACATCATCCAGTTTGGGCTGATCTAATCGGAGACGTTGAGTAATTTTGAGAACTGGAGATTCTGTTGTTGTTGGGTCTCTCATCAAATTGTCCACTATTGTCACATCCCCGCTAACCACATGCATACGAGCAGCGAATGAACTACTTTTAAGTATCAATGCACCATTCCAAGCAACAGGTAAACATTTAGCTAAATCAGACAATGAACCAACATGGTCAGAAATATTGAGCTCCTTGTCACCTTCAAGTCTCCGCCCATTCCGTCCCATTCTTTCATCACACTCTTTCCCTGATTCACCACTAGTCCGACGCAAAGCATCATGGTCCTTGATTCCGTCACGCCCAATAAACTCACGAGGTCTGTCTGGTGACCTTGACCTCCCAGAACGATGAATACCAAGCTCACCCGGAGATCTAGGTCGTCTCAGACGATCACTGTGGTCACTTAATCGATCCCAATCGTCTCTCCTCCGTTCGGAATCACGTGGATTGTCAGGATTGCGATATGCATTCATTGGATCACCACCAGCGATATGCCAATCATCACGGCGAGATCTCCGGTCACCTTGACCATCGGAACCTTGGCCCTTCCATGGACCTCCCTTTTCTCCAACTTCGAAACCTCGTCCCTGTTCCTGGTATGGGCTGTCTTGCTCGGAGACATTAGCAGCGATCGTGTTGGGGTCAGCAAAATCCACTCGAAGACGCCGGTTGTGTCCTCCCATGGGCCACCCACGCATGTCCTGACATGCTGCAGTTGCAGCATCAACCCCATCATACAATACATAAGCATAATTTTTTCCATGAGGCCACTCTATCCTATGAATCGCACCAAATCTATCAAATTCTCTTTCAAGTGTATCATAACTCACCCAAGGACCAAGCCCACCTACCCACAAACAAGTTGTAGGAGTCACCTTTCCATAACCAATTTTACACTGGAACTTTCCAATATATTTTCCAGACATATCCACCTTTGACTTGTGTGCACAATCTAGATTAATAAATTTAATGAATGCATATGCATTACCCTGACCTCTTTGGGGTCTTTTAATATCTATGTCTTCCACACTCCCATACTTTTCAAATATCCGTCTCAATTCACCATCAGTAATATTCACATCCAGATTTCCCACGAACAATGTTCTTGTTGCCTTATCATCAAACTCAGGATCAACATGATCTAAATGATGAGGAAATTTCTCATTTGGTGCACGAGGACGATCAAGCGGTTGTCCGGCAGCGGCGGCCACAGCAGCAGCAGCAGCAAAGGCTGCAGCATCCCCTCTTGGAACAAACTCTCTGGCTGGCTGAATGGGTCTGTCACCCCCACCACCTCTACCCCCACCGCGTCTATTTCCCATCATGTGGGGTGGGGGAGGAGAGCCACCTGACCCCATGCGACTTGCATGGCCATAGAACATATCACGATTATTATATTCACTATTTGGACTGTTGCTACGTGTTCGCTTATTGAAAACTGGGTCCACTCTAACTTGACGATCAAACAAAACAAGCTTAGCTTTTGCATGTTTTGCAACACGAGCGTGTTCTGGGTAACGGAAGTTTACATATGCCACTCTCTGATCTCCTGAAACAGTAATTTTCACGTTCATTTCCCCGTACTTTTTGAATTCCTGAAGCAGGGTATCTCTCAACAATGGATCAGGGATTTTGCTTGGAATACTACTTATACACAGTGACCTGTAATCGTGAGATTTCGACTGATCACGACTTTGAGCATACCCCCCCTGATCCATCATTCGATCGTTTCTGAAGTGTTTACGTGGGTGATCCATCTCTCCACGGTCAAAGTCATCCCGACGTGGAGGATACGATTTGTTGAACTTCCCACCCCTCTCACGCCGATCGAATTCAGGACTCAATCTGTCGCGGATGGAGTCGTGATCGGGTAATGAATATGAAGAACGTGACCGTTTGCTTCTCGGAGAAGCATCACGATCTTGTTGTCGTTTCATGACGGTTGTTCTCCAAAAAAAAGTTGCTGATGTCGCCGAAAGCTTCTGTTTCACACCGCCGCCATCTTGGGTTCAGTGAATAAATTATGTATTTTTTACTCGCTCAGTAAGCACTGCTATTTGACTGTTATTCCCATCTTCAGTGACTGTTCAATGATGTTAATGTACAGAAAAAATAATCTGAAGAACTGTACAAATCATACAAAAGAAAAGCTCGCATGACTATATTGCAGTGCGCATTATTTCGCATTCCGGAAAAGACACATCAGCTTCGCGTAGGAATATCACCCCGGAATATAAAGTGAGATATGTTAACGGAATTACCTCCCTTTGCTCGCTATCGTCTGCACTCCTTCACAGGACGGGACACCTCCGCGAATCAGCTAGAGCTGTGAGGGGCTTAACAGCAGCGACATGCAGCGACAGGATCACTCGGACAAAATAAGCCGCTGTGAAAATTGCAGAAAGTATGTGGAAATCAAGTAATCTTAGCGGTACCGTCACAGTCCAACAGCAACACATCACTATAAGGGGAGGCGAGCAATAACAAACATGCATGCTGTCCACAACAAGTAGGGGAACATGAAATATAAATGTTACGATCGGTCGTCAGAAGGCACATGAGTTTTCTACCAGAAATAGAACGGATTCGGAACCAAAACCTAGATACCCGAAACACTGCACATGCTCCGTGCACGGGTAACAGATCATTCGGGATTTTGACACTTCATTTAAGCAAAAGATTTGTTTGTTTGTTTGTTTAACGCCGCACTCAGCAATATTCCAGCTATGTGACGACGTTATGTAAATAAACAAGTCTGGACCAGGCAATCCAGTGATTGACATCATGAGCATCGATCTACGGAATTGGGATACGATGACATGCGTCAACCAAGTCAGCGAGTCTGACCACCCGATCCCGTTAGTCGCCTCTTACGACAAGCATAGTCGCCTTTTACGGCAAGCATGGGTTGCTGAAGATTTATTTTGGTGAAATGTCGTCAAATCGCTCTGAGACATTTAACAGTATAGTTGATTTGCGTAATCCACATGTTATATGCGTAAGGTCTCTACATGCTTTAATACCATTCTTTATAGGCCTGTTTACGATCAGATGATTTTTTTGTATATATATGTAGACTATATAGATAGTTTTTTCAGTTACAGATGAAAAACCAGATACTTTTTCTAATTAAGACTATAAACCAAAATATTGGTTTGACTTGCAACAATGTGTTTTTGTGGCCTAAAATTTATTTTATTTTCAGCAGGTTTTTTTTCGATAACCCCCACCCCCTCTCAAAGACAATTCAGACAGTCTGAGTGGAGTTTCTTTCTCCCTGTGAATCGTGGACATGTCACTATTTGAGCAGGTCACATGGGGTACATTGGTATATTAAAACCAAGATGTTATCCGTGAAGATCCAGGGTAGAATATAGGTGTTCAGCAACCCATGCTTGTCGTAAGAGGCGACTAACGGGATCAGGGGGTCAGGCTCGCTGATTTGATTGATGCATGTCACCGTATTCCAATTGCGTGGATCAATGCTCATGATGTCAGTCACTGGATTGTCTGGTCCAGAATCGATTATTTACAGACCGCCGTCATATAGCTGGAATATTACTGAGTGTGGCGTTAAACAACAAACAACGTTCTGTTTATGATATACTGAACAAACGAAGTTAGGGACCATGAATATGTTTGTGGATACCTTTTGTAGTGAAGACTGACCACACAATTTCATATTTAACTTATAAAACGTATTTTACGCTCCCCAACTGTTTTTGTTCAGTATATTTCTGTTTTAAACTTCGCCAGTGTGTCTTCATCAATGCATGCAACTAACAAGGGGGTGGTATATGTAATAGGTGTAGTTTATTTTCTAAAATGTACTACAAAAGGTAGTATTTTATTGCAGTCAGATTTAAACGCAAAGTTCAACTATACCAATATCGAAAACACATGCAACTCATGCCACACATCCTGTTTTCCGGCAAACGAAAAAATGAACACAAAAAAATAACAGTGGTAACCTTTGAGCGAAAAATATGCAGCATTCCCGAATCTAAACGTGATGACGAATTAGGTTTGCAATTAACACCGAATTCATAATACTGATGGCACGAATGACGAAGTCTTTATTTCTGTATAAATTACCACCAAAGACATTAAATAGATCTTAATTGTGCACAGACACACCCCCCCCCCCCATTTAAAAAAAGCTGTATCCGCCCATGTGGTCATATAAATAGCATCAATCATTATCGATATTTGTTGCATGAATATGTAGTTGTTAAGTGTGACGTTCCTCCCTTTGCGCCCTATACCATATGTACTGATCCTTCAAAATTCAAATAGGGTTTTTGTAGAGCTACAACGTTTGTGTCATCAGAGACCATAACATATCTCATGGTGTCATCTAACGTTTGTAACTCGCAAGCCATTCCAAACTGGTTACAAATGTCCTATTTCACCTTGCTATGTAATTAAGGAAGGCCGCGTTTACAACCTGGGTGAGAACTGCCGGTTTTAGTCCTAAAAAGAGCATTTTCCCCATTTTTCAAACTACAAAAAACACACATTTGTTTTATGTTCATATTACTGAAATCCGTTGTCGAAGCCATGCCTGCGCGAGCTACATAATTTAAACATAGTAGATCCCTGTGTATAAATTTACAGAGGCAAATAGCTTGTTACAAGTTATGACGGGAGTGTCGACTTTGAATGTTTACAGTTGCAGCATTGTGTGATTTTCGCCCTAAAACTGGCACTGGATTTAGGATGCACTCCCCTCAACGCAACCACGACGCCATGTTTACATAGGCCTCCCCGTGTTGATCTAAACAAGGTCACGTGACCTGATGGATCAGGCTTGTGCTGGCAAAATGCTTATATACGGTTTTACGAATTAGAGAAGACAAACGTTTGATGTTTGATTAAATGCTTCCACATGCCGAGATGAGGCGGGATAACGTGACCATGCGACTATTATTGTTTCAAGCGCGGATTTGTATCACTATGGCAACTTGAACCGTGACTCCGTACGAAATATTTCTGTGGTGAAAGTTTCAGTCTCTGTTTTACGTGCGACTGTTTCAGCGTTTATATCACTTTCCGTTAAGTGGTCCAATGCAAGATATAACACATTCATGTTCACCAATGTAATTCAATATTATAAAGCTTGACATGCGCGATTTAAAGAGCAGTACCCTCCACTCAAAGACGAAAATACCCATCCAAACGTCATTATTCTCGATTTTTTTTTTCAAATTAACCCTTTCATTACCCTAGAATTAACTATGCATGTGTAAAACGAACTGGTCATGCATACACTGAAGTTGATTGCATGAAGTTTTATCTTTTTCTCAAACATATAAAAGTCAGAAGGAATGCGTGCATAGTCAGAAAGAGATGGGAACATTAGTGACTTGTAGTGTGACCATTGAGGTTTAGATAAGTTTTGTCATTAAACGATATATCCCGTGACTAACCACGGGCCCGGGTTCTGTGGGTACCCGGGTCCTGCTCAGTACCCACCCGACCCGAATACCCGAGTTACCTGTCCCAGCCCAAGTCTCAGGGATCCCTACAGATTCCGTGTAGTCAGATAACAGCGGTCACTTTTTGTAGTCAACAAAGGACTGTAGGTGTGTTGAGGACGCGTGTTGGCCCACACGCTCTGCATAAAACAAGAAAATAGCAGAACCTCTGTAGAAAGCATTACGAAATGTGTCAGATGTGTTGAGAATGTGTCAGAAAAGAGAATTTGACTTTTTTATTTCAACACTTGCATGCTTTTGGCTAATACCAACACTCACTACAGGGCTAAATGTGTCAAAAAGTCTGATTTCATAGGGTTTATGGAAGCGGTTTTTATATTTAAAGATGAGCAAGCTGATTTTCTTAGGAGAATTAGTACTGACATATATTATGGCAAAGGCTCGTCTTGGGCCAGATACGTGCTCATGTCTATTGAAGATAAAATAAATCAGCCATTTTCGCTCATTTATGCATACCTTTGTATTTATCATGTCAGAAGTTCCAGACTTGTAAGAAATAAGGCTTGTTGTCCTCCATTTCCACATGTCTGACAGCTTCCATAACACTATTTCACGGTCACCCTTTGCATTGAACATTTCCAGTGATTCAGTAAGGTTCTGCGTAGCGAAATTCTGGGAATTATGCATATGTCGTACTTACGGATGTGCACTGTTTATAATCCATACGAGTGCAAACATATCATATTAACAACTAAAGAAAATAGTCTGTACTTTATTAATAATCGCATTGGCACAGATTGTTAAACATCATGCAATTGCATCGAACTGGCCGTCAGAAGTTCTTTGTCATTGTTGCGAAATCTGAAAAGATAGTAACCTAGATAAAGTATGTATGTAATCCACCATATTCCTGCTTTGTGTGTATCAAAGGGACATAACTGCTTAGGCAAGTTTTGTTGGACATAACAGGTGCGCGTTTGATGCTATTTCTGTCTCATAACGTCACTTCCGATTGCGTCGACGCACACACATCCGCCTGCTCGCTTCATAGCGAGTATATACGGTTGATATTCTGAAACTACCGACGAAAAGTTGATTTTTTTTAGTTCAAATTTGATCTATAGTGTCCAAGATGATGGGCGATAGTCATTCGAGGCCCCTACAACCAAGGAAGAACCCAATTTCAGACGATTATAGGATAACAGGCAGTGTTTTGGGGCTAGGGATTAACGGAAAAGTGGTCGAGTGTTTCTCACGGGCGACTGGGGAAAAGTTTGCGTTGAAGGTAGGAAATCGACTCTGAAAATTTATGTCATTACCCCCACGTGATGTGGTAGTCATATGTCTGTCGTTGAATGTGTTTTATATAATTGTGATGTTTTTGATGAATGATCATGAGAAAGTATTTCACACTTTATGACGGAGTCATGGATGACATTCAAGGGAGACCCCTCCCACTTCTTGTCCGTTTCCCTGTCATTTCCTTGCGACATTGTTCAACAGTGTGGCCTTCTTTACATATTGAACCGCCGTCATTGAACTTCACACCAGGCTGTGTATTCCTCAAAGAGAAACATCAATGGAATGTGATTAAAATCCAAACATGTGGTTTGTTTCAAAATAATGATGAATAGATATTTCATGATCAACAGAAACACTCCATTTCAGGGTTACCCAGTTTAATCAAATTCATCCTTGAGGAACACAGTTTTATTATAACATTATAACTATTTATGTGTTATTTTATGACGATTTGGTCATTTAAGATTCTGATTAAGGTAAGAGCAGGTGCCATGTTGTTGACATATAGATCTACATTTTGTTGACTGTCATTATAAATCTTTGTCTACCATGTCTGCAGTGTTCAGCATTAAGAGTGAGGACAAGTCGTTCCTAGTTCCTGGTCATTATAAATGTTTGTCTACCATGTCTGCAGTGTTCAGCATTAAGAGTGAGGACAAGTCGTTCCTCGTTCCTGGTCATTATAAATGTTTGTCTACCATGTCTGCAGTGTTCAGCATTAAGAGTGAGGACAAGTCGTTCCTCGTTCCTTGTCATTATAAATGTTTGTGTACCATGTCTGCAGTGTTCAGCATTAAGAGTGAGGACAAGTCGTTCCTCGTTCCTTGTCATTATAAATGTTTGTCTACCATGTCTGCAGTGCTCAGCATTAAGAGTGAGGACAAGTCGTTCCTCGTTCCTTGTCATTATAAATGTTTGTCTACCATGTCTGCAGTGTTCAGCATTAAGAGTGAGGACAAGTCGTTCCTCGTTCCTTGTCATTATAAATCTTTGTCTACCATGTCTGCAGTGTTCAGCATTAAGAGTGAGGACAAGTCGTTCCTCGTTCCTTGTCATTATAAATGTTTGTGTACCATGTCTGCAGTGTTCAGCATTAAGAGTGAGGACAAGTCGTTCCTCGTTCCTTGTCATTATAAATCTTTGTCTACCATGTCTGCAGTGTTCAGCATTAAGAGTGAGGACAAGTCGTTCCTCGTTCCTGGTCATTATAAATGTTTGTCTACCATGTCTGCAGTGTTCAGCATTAAGAGTGAGGACAAGTCGTTCCTCGTTCCTGGTCATTATAAATGTTTCTCTACCATGTCTGCAGTGTTCAGCATTAAGAGTGAGGACAAGTCGTTCCTCGTTCCTTGTCATTATAAATCTTTGTCTACCATGTCTGCAGTGTTCAGCATTAAGAGTGAGGACAAGTCGTTCCTCGTTCCTTGTCATTATAAATGTTTGTGTACCATGTCTGCAGTGCTCAGCATTAAGAGTGAGGACAAGTCGTTCCTCGTTCCTTGTCATTATAAATCTTTGTCTACCATGTCTGCAGTGCTTAGCATTAAGAGTGAGGACAAGTCGTTCCTTGTTCCTTGTCATTATAAATGTTTGTGTACCATGTCTGCAGTGCTCAGCATTAAGAGTGAGGGCAAGTCGTTCCTTGTCATTGGCATTAAGACTAATATTGAAACATAATGATTCCAATGAGACACAGACTATAACCATGATAACCGACGTCAAGGAACCTACCACCTGATAATATCAAACGTTGATCATCCTGTTTACCCAAATCATTTTCTGTAATGAAGATTAAATGAATAGCAAAATAAAACCCTTAAACCGTGTAACATACTACAATGAAGTTATTAATATCCATAAAGTTTTTGTGTTCGTGAACAACCACCTCCCTAAATGATAGCCAAAGACTGCTTTTCAACCATCACATGATTTGTAAGTTCTGATTTTCATGCCTGGATTAGTTTGACAAAACAAAAAAATATTTGTTTGTTTCACTCTGCACTATTCTATATATCTGATGAAAGTCTGTAAATAATCGAATCTGGACCAGACAATCCAGTGATTGACATCATGAGCATCGATCTATGCAATTGGGATACAATGACATGCATCAACCAAGTCAGCGAGCCTGACCACCGATCCTGTTAGTCACCTCTTAAAACAAGTATAGTCGCCTTTTACGGCAAGAATGGGTTGCTATAGAACTATTCTGTGCCAGGATATTCATGGGTCACTGGATCAATGAAGCTGAAACATCACATACTTGTTCAAGACCCCAATATTTGTTAAAGAGTTTTGAATCCTGTTTTCAATATGGCCGCCACAGCAGCCATTTTAGAAAATCTCATAATGGCCGTTTTTAGACTTTTTTGTTTTAAAATCTTGAATTTTGACCTGAATACTGAAACTTATGGTCATTCCTCAGCCGTTTTCATTCAAATGTAAACAGCAAACCGCACATTTTCAACATGATCGGGGGACTTGTGCTCCAAAGTCAAAGGCCACCTTCAATGCGAGTCGAACTGGGCCAGGCACTGTAAGAAGAGTGGACAAGACACCCTCACCACGCCATGCCACGCTGTATAAATCAACATTTGACTATTCATGGGGGCAGGACCTATAATTGATCAAATGCTCATCTCTCTAGGTTGTTTGCACGTGTACAATGCACCACTAACATGTTCCATTGATTGCACTTGCAGTGACTGTCGGACATGGGACCCATAAGTGTTGCCAGCCCATCTTCAAAGTTACCAGCCCGCATTCAGACATTATAAATGTTGAAAAATCACAGCAAATAAGAGACAAATTGGGACTCAACTCCAAAAAGTACTAGAATCTGTACATGTGCGCGTGAATTAAATTAGAAAAATGCAAGTGGTCTTTGCTCGCATTTATAAAATAAAACATTTTGGTTAGCAGAAATACCAACTTCGACATACGCTGAAAACAAACAACTATGTATTCAACATCACTGTTTATTGAGCAGCACTTGTAACAAGTATATAAACAATGACATTCAAGCACTCATTACATCCTGTGAATTGTCAGCGCTGGGGCCAAGACAAGAGCTCTACTCACTTATGTTATCATGATTGTGAATATATACTAGTACCATTTAGTCACGTTATTTATACCCCAAAATTGGAGGCAAAAGATTTAACTTGAGTTGGTTCAGTTTTATTGTATTTCCTGTGAACTTCCTTAATGCCAGTTAACAGAATAAACACAAAAAGTATATGTTGTTCTTAGGAAATCACTATGTTTGTTCTCAAATCAGAAAGGTTTTTTTATTTGTTTTCCTGCTTGTTCGTCAGCTGATTGGCCAATTAAGTTTCTAAGTATCATACGCACAGACCCTTTTTGTCTTGTATTAAACCAAAGAATGTATGGAGTTATATTTAGTGGTATTATGCAGTTGTCACATTGCCTGTCCCATCACAAATTTAATTATAATAATCTTAATTAATGGATGACAAATTCCTGTTACTATGGTTACATGTGAATTGAATGTGTGTACATGCTTCAGTGTTTGCTGTACCATCATGCTATGAATTTTGTTTGAAAACTCAATTATTAAACTATCATTGTTATGTTGGACATTCCCACATGTCTCATTAGCTTTAAGTTAGTGAACAAGGTTGATTGAGCAAGTCATTTGGCAATATGTCGTATTATATGAATCTCTATGTGCAGTTTATCGTATATGGGCTGATGATGGTGTTAGCATACATGAATATACATGAACAGCAATGCGGAAATCTGATACAATCACTGCATATATCTAGGAAGGCGTTAGACATATGAACTGGTAGTGTGTGTGTACACCAGACGAGAGAGACAATGTTGTTTTTTTAAAAAGGGACTGGAATATCAAACAGCTGATGTATACTGGGAGTATATCTTATGAAAACAAAGCAGAGCCTGGAGAATTAATAACTCAATTTGAATGTCGTGTCATAAAAAACATTAATAGGTATCTATTAGGGCTGTTTATGGGCAAAAAGTTGGTTTTGCAATATGCTGCGATACAGGTATTGTATTGCGATATATTAGGAGCTGAAGTTTTTTAACCTGATTGTATGTTTCTCAGCACGGTTAGTCGCCACCATTTTGTAGTCATAGATACATGGAAGATCACAATTCAAGAGAAAAACACTTCCGCGTTTCCATCCTTTTGTCAATCAGTTTCGAGGGACACATTATTTGTGAATTAATTTCTGTAGATTTTAGGGTAAGACAATACAAATACATGCATTAACAAAAATTGTTATGTTATTTCTACCCAATATACCGGAACATAGAAACAGTATTGCAATATGTGTCGTTTGAAAAGGGAAGTGCAGTTTATTATATACTTAAGTGTGAAAGACTGAGTTTGAGAAAAGTGAGATTTTCATTGCAGTTAACATAACAAATGATATTTCACTTCAGTGAACATAACACTTTCATGGAACTATTGTCATACAAGAGTGACCTCCCCTCAAATTGCCTCCCTTTATGGAAAGTGTCTGGCCCTCTCACAAACTGTTGACTTCCTTTTCACGTTTGTTCCACATTGACAAGGCAAAATAATGATAGATGGTCATTTACCGAGTTAATATTGCTTCATGGCATTTGTTATTCCCTTGAAAATGTTCCATTATTAACTGTAAATTTCTCATTGAACTTGGTTTCGCAAAGCGCCATTTTTGTTATTTGACCAGCGTGTATTATTTTGCTTCCAACAATGGTCTCGAAGTTTTCAAGAATATTTTTGGTTAAAGTTAATTTTGTATATCATATCTTTATGTATGATACATAATTTTTGCGACCCTAAATGTTTTATGTTACTATTGTTCATATTTTTTTTATGATTTTGCAAACACGAAACTACATTTTTAGTTGCAAATACAAAGGGTGATGAACTGTCCCTGTGTGTTGGGTAGGGAGAATTTATGTTTCAAGGTTTTACATTTGTAATGAAATAATTTAATTTCCCGGTAGACAACTACACAAAAAGTATATAATTAAGAGGATATTCCATGTGTCTCGTGAAATATCATGTTTCTTTCATCTCGTGAAAAATATCTCCTTTCTCCCCGTCACTCAATGAAAGGAACATGATATTTTACTCGACACATAAAATATCCTCTATATGCCGGTTATACTGTGCAGAGTGTGATTAAAATCTAAACATGCTGCTGTGGTTTGTTTAAAAATAATGATTAATAGATGTTTCATGATGAACAGTAAAACACCATTTCAGTTCGGACATCGGACATCGGACATCGGACCAAAGTGTCTGGTTTATGCAGGGGCTGAACTTGAAGCTACATTGTCTATAACAATATATACTCACCCCCAAAAGAAACGTGAACCATAGAAAATACATAGAGAAGTATGTATGTTAAGAAGGGATGTTTCCAATGTGTACCACTTAATGACAAAACTAACAATCAGTCAAATGTTACCACAGAGTGTTTTTATTATTATCATGATATGCTGCACATGATTTCCGAAGTTTACACGCTAATCCTGCACAAGAGAAATGGTGCATCTCGAGTCATGGATCTATGACATCACATGTGATGTGTTTGTTCATCGAAACAATCTAACATCTCTTGAATATGAGTAATTATTCATATGTTAACCAACATGTATGGTACCGTATTCGACGTAATAAGTACCCAGGGTGCTCTCAAAATTAGAAATAAGGGGCTCTTATTAGAATATTATTTTGGTGAAAAAAACAGTTGAAAGATAAATTTTGTTGTTTATGCTGACAGCCTGAAATGTTTATATACGACAGATATATTTTTCCAGAATTTAATTGCCCATAATTAAGGGTGCATATAACACACGAGTGCATATTATATATTCAATTGTTCACAAGCCAATATATTATCAAATATCACCGTGGGCGCTTATTAAAACAGGGCGCTATTTATTACATCGAATACGGTATTGGCGTTTTTATTGTCAGTGAGTCTATAAAGTTGATCGAGTTACATTTTGATACAAATGTTGTCTGCTGCAGACATGATGGGTTTTCTGTATGCATGTGTCGTCTGTGGCTAAGTGGTCTTCATTCCAATTGCCAAAACAATACGGCCATTCGGGCCACGAGTGAGACAGGTGTGAAATACTGGGAACCTATTCCTATTTTTGACCAATCTCATTAAAATCACGTCTTAGTTCTCGCTACTGCTGAACAAAGATCTGAGGCCATCCCATTATTGGTTACGTCAGAACGACCCTTCATCCTACCAATCAGAGTGTCTCTTACCAGATCAGGAAAGTGACAGTCGCAATGTGTTTTCTAATCACTGCAGGCTTTATCATGTTTATGACTGACTCCATACAATCTAGGCCATCTATTAGCCATTCCAGAATGTTGTTTTGTTCACTTTTCATATCTTAATCGTGCATTTTCAAAATGTTTTAAAGCGTAGTCGCCACTTTGAAACTAGTGCCGTAAAGCACAAGAAAGCTACCTTCTGATTGGCTAATATTGACTTCTGTCAGTCATTCCCTTGGTCAGTCAAAGTTGGGGAAAGGGCCCAATGATGTTGCACACTGCTGGCTGAGGATACAGTGGTGGAGTTGACTGCTGACAATTGTGTTTCTGCTCCACAGGTGCTGCGAGATGTTCCTAAAGCGCGGAGAGAGGTCGACCTTCACTTTCGAGCCTGTCATGGCTGCTGTCACATAGTTCGTATTATCGATGTTTACGAAAACAACTACTCAGGGCAGAGATGTCTACTGGTTGTTATGGACTGGTAAGTAGTCTCTTGTAGAGTTGTGTCCCTTAGTCTTGACAGGATCATGTACTATCCCAGATATTTCAGAATAATGATACTTCCGCGATGAGAGCTGATCATTTATTGATCAGTGCCAGATGTGGCATTGAAGGTCCAGTGAAGCAACTGATAATGTGCCTGTTGACATGTGAGTGTTAATAATTAATTTGCCCTTATTTGTGATTACTGCGTTACAACCTGTGACACACAGTGTTAACGTTTACTAGTAATTGCCAGTTTTCTGCCGGTAAAATTAGGCTTTGACTGGTAATTCATGTGACTGCCAGTCCCTGTGGACCGGCAAATAAAGTACCTTAAAAATCTTTGTTGAACTAAACATCAGCGATATTCACATAAGTATATTTTTCGAATGAAGTCAGCTTGTCTGTTACCATAAGGGCTTCCAATGTCTATTTTAAGTGCAAGGAAATAACATTTCGCCTTGTTTCGAGGTTAAGTATATATTTGTAGTGACTTAGTATCGAAATATTCGAGAGAAAAAAGGAGCAAATATTGTGGCTGAGCTTTGTGTGAATGACATGTAGATCTAACTAAGTTACTTCAGAGGTTACGGCATGGCACTGAACAAGATGTTGAAAGTTGAAAACCAGGTAATTTTTCAAGTGTTTTTATTTGTTGAAAGTTGGGCCTGACAAAAATTAGGGGGACTTGTTATTTCCGTCAGGACTGGCAGTTTCAATAGCCAGCAGGAACACTGGACACAGAGCTTTTCCTCTAACATTTGGCAGACTCTTGGAGAACTGACAGAAATAACATTCAAAGCATCCTCAATTATCCAGTAATATATGTCCCAGGGGTTACTCTAGGTATCCAAATGAAGTGCCCTGGGCAGGGACATTTAGTTTACAAACTACAACTAGTTGTATTTGAGATGGTGTGAAACAAGTCGAGACAAGTAGTGGTGATATACCATTAACAAAAGAGCAGTTTTTTACTAAGAATTTCTTAAATTACAAACTACAACTAGTTTAAGAAATTCTTAGTAAAAAACGGTGTTTGTCGTTGAGATATAATACACTGGGCATATCAGAATATTTCACTTTGGTTCAAGACTAGGTCACTATAAATAACCTTAACCTTAAGCAAAGTGACATATTATTTCCTTGCACTATTTCCTTGTTTGAAAAATATAATATATTTAAATATTGTCAATGTTTTGTTCAACAAAAAAGGTTTACAAAAGACTTATTTGCCGGTCCACAGGGACTCGCAATCACAAGAATTACCAATCCAAGCTAATTTTACCGATAAACGCGAACACTGATCTTCAGACTTAATTTTTAGTGGTCTACATGCAGATGAATACAGAGTTATCTCCCTATGCATTATTACTTTGTTCAACGCTCGAGGGGGGGCACGGGTGGCCCAGTCGTCTAAGGCGCCGCGATTCGCTGTGCAGAGTTGCGTCCCTTGGGCACGCCAGAAACCTATGATTGTGGGTTCGAATCCCGGTTCGCCCCAATTATGTTTCTCGGTTTGTCAGCACCATACCCGTGCTCTAGGGTTTCACCGAAGTGGTAAACGTCTAAAACCTGCACCACTTCGGGCTTTCCTCCCACATTAAGCTGACACGCCGCGATATGACTGGAATACTGTTAAAAGCGGCGTTAAACCCAACTCACTCACTCACTCACTCACTCAACGCTCGAGGTTCATAATTCTTGGATTGCTCATGTTCTGTATTGTGTGTGCATATATTCTTTGTATGAGAGTGTGAAGTAATTGTATTGATGTGCATTGGGGCAGTAAGTTTTGGGGCAACGCCAGGCTCGAAAAATAAAACTTGCCTGCTTGTATTGACGAGTGGCAGCATGTGCAGGGTGAGAAAGAAGTGAACAAACGTTCTTCCTCCTGGGCGAGTACGTATTTCAATCATATCATGTCATCTCCATGTCGCTTATATCATAAATAGACAACATACTTGACAACTGTCTGTTGAAGAAATAAATAGAAAGTGCATTTGCACAGCAGGTCTCGAAATGAGTTATAAAGGGAGATAATTATATTTAGTTTTGTTGTAAACGACTCGTTACTGACGCTCAAATGACAAAGCAAAAATGAATGATTATTTGAGGGAAATGGGTGATATAAATAAAGTTTTTGAATTGGGATGGTGGCGTTGATGAGAAAAACATGACTTGGTTACCAAATAGGCCGAAAAAAGGACATTTTGTCAAAGATCAGACTGTAAAAAAACAATGAACTGTGCAACACGCATGGTTTGAATGGGCGGAGAGGAACATACATGGCAATGACTATGAATTATTTTGTACTGTCTGTCATAAATATCCCCAACTCAAAGGTTAATTACAGAAAATGGAAATCAGCGAAAACGTAAAACTTTGTAAAATTTAAGAGGGCTAGTGAAAATGTTGCAGGACAGGTTGGGTTTAAAAAACTTTTTGAGCTGTGGTGACGGAAATAAGAGGGCTGGTGTATTACTCCTTAGGAGGACTGAGCCTATTGTGTCTGTGTCGTATTGTCAGGTGCTTCTAAGTTGTGGGACTAATGTACAGACGATTGTATCCTGTGTTGCGAGGTCATTTCTTCACATGATTGACAGGACGAAAGGTTTTTCCGTCTGATCAATCTCTGAACATTTGAGCCAGGGACCTATTTGGTTGGATGGAGGTATTTGCCCGATCGGAGGGATGTGCAGGGGTTAAACAATACCATTGCCCGTGCCAAGTAAGATGTCGGACGAGTAATATGCGTTTTCTAGCATGTCAGTGGACAGGTAGAGCACACTAAATGACCTGGCTTCAAGTTTCACAATAATATATAATCATGTGATCATGTTACAATATTTCATTGGCTAATATATTGCAAGTGTCACAGAATGGCAGTCAACCAATGGGATTAATGCACTTCGAAGTCAGGCAGGTCAACAATGAGAACCAGGCTTGTTTCATTGATAAATCGGAGTAACATTCCATACATGGCACATGCTTTTCGGAAATTGAATGATGAACAGTTGACTGCATTTCTTTGAATTTGTAATGCGAGGTTTGTCTAGTGCCGACTTTTGAAGCTTCGTTAGGACTAGCTTTGAAGAAATATTTTAATTGAATACACCAGTGACCGTTGAGGCTCAGTCACTCTCAATCGCGAAAACTTTGTTGACACATAACTACTTAAACTGCAACAAATATGACAAAGTTTGGCATTTATGATACATGTAGCCATGCTTTGGCAACTAAAGTTTGTTTCAAGGCGTCAGTAGCGATAATCTGACGCTGTTAATACCGATCACTTCACACATGATTTCGCGGAAATGAATGGAAACAAACATTGAATGAAATTTTGTTAATGCCGCACTCAGCAGTATTCCATCTATATGACAGCGGTCTGAAAATAATCGAATCTGGACCAGACAATCCAGTGACTGACATCATGAGCATCGATCCATGCAATTGGGATCGATGACATGCATCAACCAAGTCAGCAAGCCTGACCACCCGATCCTGTTAGTCGAATGAAATTTTGAATAAAATAAATAAAATATATTACAATCATAAATCCAGATATACAATGAACACATTTTTATAACCAGATACCAGGGTAGAATAATAATGGGATTAAATTGCGTACTTTATTTCAGATTAGTTGACTGGTATTTCCGGTGTTACATGCTCATGGTGATCACCTGATAATGTTTTTTGAGTTGAGGGGAAAAACATTGTGTCAGTGTTAAACTTGAGTTTATTAAATATGTAAGTAAATTTTGGAAGCCATGTGCTACAGTGCATTATAACCGAGTTAGCGCTACGTGGAGAGGCGCAATAGCGAGGAAACACAGTATCTCTGATTCTCTGTTCTGCAGATGTAACATTTTATCGAATTGATAAGCTTGATTTTGAGCAAGTACATTTTAAAATAGGGCAAGGAAGAATGTTGGTCATACTTGCCCAAGGTCAAGTAACATTTTTCATAAATTTTCAATGCCTGATGTGTTACTTGGATGGAGAGATTGAAAGACAGGGCCACACACGGGAGAGTCAACTATAGGCTCCAATACGCAGTATAGAGAAGGTTCTGCTGAAAAGTGTATTAAACATATTTTGTAATTAAATAACTGAAGTATGAACACTGCTTGTGTGATTACCAGAGCAATTTCACATTTGGGGTTGGATGACACGGATAAAAATAATAATACTAATTCTGCATTGTCTTCCCCCACTCGTTTCCGCATTCGTCCCCAAATCTTATGGAAAAGCCTTCCCCAAAAATAATAACATTTACATCATCCATTGTGGTAAAGTCTCCCCTCTTCCACCACCCTACCACCACCAGCACCCCACCAGTACCCTTCCACCACCCCACTCCACTCCACCCCACCCACACACACCCTGCTAGAGTACTACTGCTGCTTCATGACAATGCCTCTTCTCACACCTCTTGACTTGCAAAGGCTGCTGTGTGACAGTGTGGGTTCTAAGAGCTTCCTCACTCTCCATACTCCATACATACCAAGTGATTTCCACCTGTTTCCTAAACTTTCATGGAAAGCGCTATAACAACAATGATGACTTCAAAGCTGTCCATGAATGGGTTTTTCGGGATGATTTCAGAAAACGTCTTCCTGACTGGAATTGACAAGCTTCACTATCAATATGAGAAGTGTATTAAGAAGAAGGGAGATTTGTTGAAAAATAAAATTGAAAACACTTTCACAATTGCTGGTTTTGTTTGTTAGGCTCAGAATTTTTTGGCCAGCTCTCATAAGAATAACGTTAAAGTGATCCTTGTTTGTACCCTAATGGTAACGCCCAGAGGGAGGAAGCTGCCTGGGAAGTGAATAAACAGATTGCAACTTTGTTCTGACATTTATCTCCGGCTTCTTTCAGCATGGAGGGCGGAGAGCTCTTCACGAGGATCCAGGAGCGAGCAGACTCAGCATTCACAGAGAGAGGTAAGGGGGACAGATGTTCCTAGGATCTAGTTAACTCCTGGGGTGGAATAGGAAGGACCCACGACCTCCATCTTGTCGTGAGAGTTGACTCAAAGGAGGATTGTGAGGTTGCATTGTCACCTGGCTTCTGTGTGTCATTGTGCCCGGGAAAGATTGTCAGCCATTGATTTCCGGGGCTTATCCCTATTGTAAGGGTTTATTACATTGATAAGTAGGTGTGTACAAGAACAGCACTGATTGTGATGCCATTAACCATTGGTACTAGGCCTGGCCGGACTAAATAACGATCAATTATCGATAAATATTGGAGAAGTAACTTTGAGCAACTATGCAAAACGCTCCAAGACAGGACAACATATTTCACGTCACTGGTGGACATTTAAGATATAACAAAATCAGCAGTTGCTTTCCGTCCTCGGCAATGGTGAAAAACATGACATGAAGAAGAGTTGCCTCCCTTAGATGTGCCAGAATGTGCTGGTCAGGGGTTTATGTTACGATCCCCAGTGCTTATGGGTTGCAGTGGAGAACGTGCAGTCTTCATCACCTGAGCATCCCTCAGTCATTGACCTGACACGCCATCATGCTGGTGTTCAATGTTCAAATTCACTTTCGTAATTCCAGAACATTATTTCTAATCCAGGGGCGGTCAGGTAGCCTAGTGGTTAAAACGTATGATCGTCAAGCCTAAGACTCTGATTCAATTCCCCACATGGATACAATGTGTGAAGCCCATGCTTCTGATTAATGATGAATTTACTTGCTTGCAGAGGCTGCGTCGGTTATATGTGATATAGCCAAGGCCATTCAGCATCTTCATTCCATGAACATTGCACACCGAGACTTGAAGGTAAGGCGCACTGTTATGGCCGGCTGAACATTTTGTTTGAAATATTTAGCGTTGGTAAGTTGATATTAAGAAAATATCTCTGGGTAATCTGTGTTCATTTTTTATGGTAGAAAGTAGCTTTAACTTGTCGGTAATGATACATTGATTTGCAAGATGATGTGGAATGCTACAGTTAGGTCCTGTATAAGTTACTTGAAAAACTTAAAAGTGCCATTTGCTATCATTTGTTGTATATATTCATGAGGGACACCTGTGGCTCAGTCATTTAAGGCTCTGTAATTTGCTGTGTAGAGTTGCATCACTTAGGATCACCAGGATCCACTGATCCGTGATCATAAGTTTGAATTCCAGATCTGCCCTGAGGATGGTCGTTGGTTTGTCAGCACCATACCTGTTCCCATGGGTTTCATTGAATGTCAACTGAGACTCCACCGCTACAGCGCACATGCGGTGATGAAACTCACTCACTCACTCACTCACAGCCTAGTGGATAAACTGTTCGCTTGTCGTGCTGAAGACCCGGGTTTGATTACAGACATGGGTACAATGTGTGAAGCCAATTTCAGGTGTCCCCTGTCGTGATATTGCTGGAAAATTGCTAAAAGCGGTGTAAAACCTCGCTCACTCACTCCATTAGAGTCGAGCATCAGTTGAGCACCGGGATGTGAGTCATATCAAGTGTTACAATCTTTGTGTTTCAGCCGGAAAATTTGCTGTATTCAAAGCGTAGTGAAGTGGGAGTGCTTAAGTTGACAGATTTTGGTTTCGCGAAAGAAATCAGCATCTACAAGTCCTTACAAACTCCCTGCTATACACCCTATTATGTTGGTAAGTGGTATTTAGGCACACTGCTTTACACCCTATTATGTTGGTAAGTGGTATTTAGGCACACTGCTTTACACCCTATTATGTTGGTAAGTGGTATTTAGGCACACTGCTTTACACCCTATTATGTTGGTAAGTGGTATTTAAGCACACTGTTATACACCCTATTATGTAGGTAAGTGGTATTTAAGCACACTTCTTTACACCCTATTATGTTGGTAAGTGGCATTCAAGCACACTGCTATACACCCTATTATGTTGGTAAGTGGCATTCAAGCATACTGCTTTACACAATGTTATTTTGGATTTCAATTTTCTATGCTGATTATTATATACATACCCAAAGTTGGGGGTAAATATATATGATCTACTGGGGGTGAAACGATACCTTGGTGGTCCGGTGCATCGTGAGTTTTCATGTGATGATACAATGCACAATATGTTATCCCCCGCCCTAACGAACTTGGCGGGGATAATGAAATGGGTTCCGTCCGTCCGTCCGTCCGTCCGTCCGTCCGTCCGTCCGTGCGTCAGTGTGTGTGTGCGTGCGTCCTGAAATCATTTCCGGAGCATAATTCAGAAACCGTTAAATATTTCAATACTTTACTTTGCATGTCTATCAGACTCATGCTGAACTGGTTCCTTTTGCTATTTAGGAATTACAAAATTGTTTATTTTTTATGTTTCCATGGCAACAAGTTGGCCTTAGGTTCTATAAGGGTGGTGCTGATTTCCGGAGCGTAACTCAAAAACTGTTAAATACTTTCTTACAAAACTGCATGTCTACCATGAATTTTTATTTTTTATGTTTCCATGGCAACCAGTTGGACTTAGGTTCTATAGGGTAGATTTCGTTTCAGGAGCATAACTCAAAACCCATTCAATAGTTTCTAACAAAACTTTGCATATTTACCAGACACATATTGAACTGGTGCCTTTTGCTATTTAGGAATTTTAGAATTTTTTATTTTTTACGTTTCCATGGCAACAAGTTGGATTTAAGTTTTAATATAGGGTGGATTCACTTATGGAGTATAACAAATAAACTGTTAAATATTTCCTTGCCAAACATTGCATGTCTATATATAAAGCACATACTGAACTGGTGCCATTTGATATTAAGGAGTTTGTATCATTACCAGATGATAGACTTGCTAAAATATATTACTAACTATTCCCCAAATGACATCCAGCCCTACCCAGGGTTTTTGTCAGTCAGATATTGCAAAATGTGTTGTAATTAGCTTTTTTTTAAAAATAGCCACTACAGACATGTGTCTACAGCTAGCCTTTCCTTTGCTCAGAAATATATAGTTTCCACATGATTTGATGTAAATATGTGTATCGCCATACCTGTTGTATCGTTACCTATTTATTGTGATACGTACCGATCGTGACCTTGCTGTATCGTTTCACCCCTACAATCTACATCATTGAAGCTGACAAGCTGGGATAAAACTGCTGTATTTTGAGACCGTCCTCTGTGATTTGTAAATGCCTAAACTCATCTCCATTTGTGTTGTAGCACCGGAAGTCCTGGGGCCCGAGAAGTATGACAAGTCATGTGACATGTGGTCCCTGGGTGTTATCATGTATATATTGTAAGTGTTATACTCACTCTGGGAGGTGGCATGGTAGGGGTAGGGGTGGGTGGGATGGGGCTATGGCATGGGTGGTGTGATGTGGTGTGGTGTCATGGGTGGGTCAGTGTTAGGGTCACGGGTGTGGTGGGGTCGTGGCATGGCTGGGATGGGGTGGTGTCATGGTTGGAGAAGGGTTGGGTGGTGGCATGGTTGGAGTGGGGTCGTGGGGTGTTATGGTTGGGGTGTGGTGGTTTCATGGTTGGGGTGGGGTTGTGTCATGTTTGTGGTGGGGTGGGGTGGTGTCATGGTTGGGGTGGGGTTTTGTCATGTTTGTGGTGGGGTGGGTTGGTGTCACTGACTTGGTTGATGCTTGTTATTGTATAACAATTGCATGGTTCGATGCTCATGATGTCAATCACTGGATTGTCTGGTCCAGACTTGATTATTTACAGACCACTGTCATATAGCTGGAATATCGCTGGAGTGCGGCGATAGACAACATGGAACAAACTTAACAAACAGCAATCTGACAAACCATGATGAGACTGAAACACTGTCCACACTCAACATTAGGGGTGACTGGAAAAGTAGAGAAGTGTTGGTAGTATTATTATTGATGAATCATTTATGGTATTGCATGTAATATATTTCATCATTCCTTTCAGACTTTGTGGTTATCCTCCGTTCTACAGTAACCATGGTGCTGCCATCTCCCCGGGGATGAAGAAGCGGATCCGTAATGGACAGTACGAGTTCCCCAACCCCGAGTGGAGTCGGGTGTCCTCGGATGGTAGATAACTTTTCACTAAAATACAGTGCTTGCAATGTCTGTCTCAGCCCAATGGACTTCAAAATTAATCATGACAATTCAGGTGGAAGGTGGATATAGGAATGGGTGCTGTCCGTATGTCTGTCATGTATCGTTTCTGGAGCAGAGCTCAAAAACCACAAGAGATATCTTAACCAAACTTGGCGCATAGATAGGTCCAGTGGTGAACTGGTGCCTTTAGATAGTTTGGGATTTTTTAACATTTCATTTTTTGAGTTTCCATAGCAATGACTTTGACTAAGACTGAAAATGGCTGTAATGCTCGTTTCCGGAGCAGGTCTTGAAAACCGTACAATATTTCTTGCCTTGCACACAACCGAATATGTTATATTGGTGGGTGATATGAGTATTTCATGCTTGTGTCTATTTAACTCGCTGTTACCATTTGGAAGGTCCATAGCCTGAACAAAGGGCTCTGAGACTTCACCTGATTATCAATCATTTTGCTGATTGATGTTGAGGGAGATTTCAGTGTAAGAAGTAAGGATAACATATATGTATGAACAACCTCTTTTTTACAATTTGGAGCGACATTTCATTGTAGGTTCTAACACCATTATCAAGCAAGTGATGTTAGAACCTACACAGAAACATTGTTCCTAATTGTAATCAAGTTGTTCATCCTTATATCTTAGCCTTACCTAGTACTCCAACTTGTAAATGCCTCTCAAAGATGTTATTTCAGTGTTCGGTTGAAGAAAGGTCCGTTATTTGTAACATACAATATACTATTTTGAGTTTTATTTCAGTCAGGACTCGCAGTGTTAATTATTTTCATCCATTTTGAATTTGCATGCGTATGGGATGCAATATTACACAAACAGACAAAAACAAAAACTAGGATCCGTGTACTCATCAAGCAGTTATGGACATCACCCTTTGCGCTGACATCAAAAGAAAGATTAAGTTGGTTCCTACTGTATTCAAATACTGTACCAGCAAATGTCACGGACCTCAGTACCTCCTTCCTCAAAAGGGGCACGGGTGGCCCAGTCGTCTAAGGCGCTGTGATTGGCTGTGGATAGTTGCGTCCCTTGGGCATGCCAGAAACCTATAACTCTGGGTTCGAATCCCAGTTCGCCCTGATTATGTAAACTGTAAACAAACACTCACGCACAATGTGCTGCAGATTGTTGACATTTGATGCTAAAATCATGGGATATTTTCATAAAGGGTAATGGAACAAGTATGAAATATCCCAAACTATCAAAAGGCACCAGTTCACTACTGGACCTATCTTTGTGCCAGGTTTGGTTAAGATATCTCTCATGGTTTTTGAGTTCTACACCGACAACAAAACATGACGGACGGACGGATGGACAGCACCCATTCCTACATCCCCCTTCCACTTCGTGGCTGGGTATAATAACTTTGGTAATCTAACTCAAATATTTCCGTAGAAGAAGTAATGAAAGTGTGAGGTGTACAGAAAACGTTCCTCTTTTGAAATGTGTTATTGGTGCAGGGTACCTCTTACTACAGGTACATGTGTACATCTGGATGAAGGTTGTTTAACTCATAAGCCTATAATTGTTTTTCAGCAAAAGAGTTGATTAGAGGTTTACTTAGAACAGATCCAGATCACAGACTTTCGATATCAGAGGTGATGCAGAACAAATGGATTAAAGTAAGTGTTGCTGGTAAAAGTGTTTGTGTTGATATGATTGGTCCAACCTGTTCCCAGTCAGGTGCAAGCACTCATTACATGTACAAGAATCTTGAAACGTTTCGCTCTGACTCCAGTGTATGTCTGCAGGAAGGCCATTCTAGTGAAGGTTTATTTCCTGGATTGTTTTATGTTTGTTTAATCAGATTGATTCCAGATTGCAGACAAATAGAAAAACATGAACACACAATGCCAATTAGAAAGTGGTCAGATGTAACAAACGTTATCAAAAATATAACATTTGTTACAAAAGAAAAACAGTCCAATTTCCCCTTTTATTCTCTCTAAACTATTTACATGATAATTGAAATGAAATATAAATTTAAAATGACAAACATAACTATTTCTCTGAGGAAAACGTATTTGGCGTCTTGGCAGTCATCATATGTTTGTGAAAAAAAGTTGTTGGCTGTGTGTTCGACTCTGTGCATGGACTATGTAGGGCACTTAGCACAGTTGGGACCTGGTGGGTGGCAGTGATAGTAGAGAGAGCTCCGTGAATGGGTATCACTGTGAGGAGCTTGACAGCATGTCACTAGGCCATGAAGAGTTGTCTCCCTGGAATGCCACTTGGCACAGTTGGGAGCTGGTGGGTGGCAGTGATGGTAGAGAGAGCTCCGTGAATGGGGTATCACTGTGAGGAGCTTGACACTATGCCACTAGGCCATGAAGAGTTGTCTCCCTGGAATGCAAGCTGCATCTTGCAATACCAGGAAGTGTTGATTGCATTCAGGACTAAAGCTTGCACATTACTCAGTAATGATGTCAGTAGTTCATGGATGGTGAGGTTATTCTTTCTGTTTAACACTCATTTCATTGCAACAAATATGGACTCACTCTTTTCAACATGACACATGAAGAAAGTCTGTAAGTTCCTAGTTTGTGCCAATAGGTCTACAAGCCCAAATCTATCTTTTAGCATGCTGACTTTTGACTATTATTTGCTTATAAAAACATGTTGCTACACTGAGGGTTCCTAGATCCCACTTAGGGCAGTGGGGTAGCCTAGTTTTTTAAGCGTTCAGTTGTCGCGCCGAAAACTGGGTTCTATTCCCCACATGGGTACAATGTGTGAAGCCCAATTCTGGTGTCCCCCGCCATGATATTGCTGGAATTTTGCTAAAAGCGGCGTGGAACTATACTCACTCACTCACTCCTAGATCCCACTTAGGGCAGTGGGGTAGCCTAATTGTTAAAGCGTTCAGTCGTCACGCCGAAAACTGGGTTCGATTCCCCACATGGGTGCAATGTGTGAAGGCCATTTCTGGTGTCCCCCGCCATGATATTGCTGGAATTTTGCTAAAAGCGGCATAAAACAATACTCACTCCTAGATCCCATTGGCCCCCATGGATTTCCTGGTATTGTTCTTCCTGTTCTTTCCTACCGGTTTTATTCTGTTCAACTAGTTCAGTATCGCATTTTGTTTATCTTGTTACCTGTTAGTCCGTACACTGTTTGCCTGGAAATTCTGCCTTCCATATTATTATTGCTGGGAACAGTGATGTAACCATGGTAACAACAAAACTACATGACAATGTACACATACCGTTACTGCAGATAGTGTGTGTCTGTGCCAGGCAGGACACTGTGGTGATCAAGTGATGTAACCATGGTAACAACAAAACTACAAGACAATGTACACATACCGTTACTGCAGATAGTGTGTGTCTGTGCCAGGCAGGACACTGTGGTGATCAAGTGATGTAACCATGGTAACAACAAAACTACATGACAATGTACACATACCGTTACTGCAGATAGTGTGTGTCTGTGCCAGGCAGGACACTGTGGTGATCAAGTGATGTAACCATGGTAACAACAAAACTACATGACAATGTACACATACCGTTACTGCAGATAGTGTGTGTCTGTGCCAGGCAGGACACTGTGGTGATCAAGTGATGTAACCATGGTAACAACAAAACTACATGACAATGTACACATACCGTTACAGCAGATAGTGTGTGTCTGTGCCAGGCAGGACACTGTGGTGATCAAGTGATGTAACCATGGTAACAACAAAACTACATGACAATGTACACATACCATTACTGCAGATAGTGTGTGTCTGTGCCAGGCAGGACACTGTGGTGATCAAGTGATGTAACCATGGTAACAACAAAACTACATGACAATGTACACATACCATTACTGCAGATAGTGTGTGTCTGTGCCAGGCAGGACACTGTGGTGATCAAGTGATGTAACCATGGTAACAACAAAACTACATGACAATGTACACATACCATTACTGCAGATAGTGTGTGTCTGTGCCAGGCAGGACACTGTGGTGATCAAGTGATGTAACCATGGTAACAACAAAACTACATGACAATGTACACATACCATTACTGCAGATAGTGTGTGTCTGTGCCAGGCAGGACACTGTGGTGATCAAGTGATGTAACCATGGTAACAACAAAACTACATGACAATGTACACATACCATTACTGCAGATAGTGTGTGTCTGTGCCAGGCAGGACACTGTGGTGATCAAGTGATGTAACCATGGTAACAACAAAACTACATGACAATGTACACATACCATTACTGCAGATAGTGTGTGTCTGTTCCAGGCAGGACACTGTGGTGATCAAGTGATGTAACATGCAACATATAACATGTAAGATGTAACATGTGGTTCTCTGTTCCCAGAACTACTCAATGGTGCCTCCGACGCCCCTGATGTCGGCGCGGGTGTTGCGAGAGGAGGAAGATGTCTGGATGGACGTGCAGGTGGGTTGGACTGAATGGCTCACGATAATTCTACCATGACATTTTCCAATTCTGCATTCTGATTGGCGGACAGCAGTATGGAAGTTACATTAGATCATGATTTTGCTGATACTGATACGGTAATTTCTCCCCAATTACCTATGCTTGTCGTACGATGAGATTAAATCACTCTTGGCCTATTCTCGTTATCAGAAGGGGCGATCCGGTAGCCTTGTGGTTAAACTGTTCGCTTGTCACGCTGAAGACCCGGGTTTGATTCCCGACATGGGTACAATGTGTGAAGCCCATTTCAGGTGTCCCCTGCCGTGATATTGCTGGAATATTGCTAAAAGCGGTGTAAAACCTCACTCACTCACTCACTCACTCACTCACTCACTCTCATTACCAGGAAGAGATGACCAACGCTCTGGCGACAATGAGAGTGGACTATGACCACTGTGTCAACATCAAGAACCTCTCCGATTCCAACAACCCCATTTTGAAAAAACGGCGAACACAATCAACCAAGACCAAAGGGGCAGAGGCGTCATAGACTCATCTTCATCCGCCTGAATCATCCGATGACAGCCAGCAGGCCGAACCCCAAGAGAGATGTTCATTTGTTACACTACCCTTTAGGAATTATTGAGGAGATATATATTAAACAGTGTTAAAGGGCGGGTGGAGCCGGGGGCTGCTGGCAGATACTTGGTGGGGAACAACAGATAACATGGACCTCCTAGCAGGGCAGTTTGATGACTCACATTTAGAATCTATGCCAGATGAATGACACAGACCAATGACATATTTTGTTTTACAAATTTTCTAGACAGTGTTTGAAGATGCACACCCTCACAAAAAGGAAACAATTGTCTGACTCCTGGTCCCAGTTCAACAAAAGGATCTTAGCACTATGATTGTCGTAAGTCTATGTTTAAGCATGGGAGTTACGATCGCCTTAGCACTACGATAGCTTTGTTGAATGGACTCCTTGGTGTCGTTGTACAAAGCAACCTTAGCGCTACGACTGTCGTAAGTCTATTATAAGGTATGGGAGCTACGACCACCTTAGTGCTAAGATCTCTTTGTACAACGGCATCCTGGTCTGTAACAGAAAACAAGTATTCAGGATTTCGTTCATGATATTGTCAATATTGTCTTTTTGTTGGATGGTGTTTGTAAGAATTATCTTCGAAACATGAATGTGACGTGGTCGGGAATGTGGTTACAACCATCCCAGTCAGTCCTCCTGGGCCCAACCCCACAAAGCAGTGATTGTTGCGCTAAGGTGGTCGTAACTCCCATACTTTCACATAGACTTACGACAGTCGTAGCGGTACGATCACTTTGTGGAACGGGGCCCTGGTCTTCAGTCCCACATCAAAGTGCCGGCTGAGGAGTTGGTAAACAGTTATGAAGATAACGTTTTCTTGAACATGCTACACAATGTTTATTTATGCTTGTTATTGTTGTTCCGTTGGATGCTGCTCCTTGTGAAGTCAAGATGTTTGTTACAGTGAAATGCATTTGTTCTTTAAGGTATTTTCTGTCAGCTGAGACAAACAAACGACAGGAATGAGTTTAAGGAATTATAACATGTATTTACCATTTATGGAATTATCTTGTCTCTGGGATGAGGGCAGGGGAGAGAAGCCTGTTGTAAAGCGGCGATGAGGTTCCTTGCAAAGTTGCCTCCCTTGGACTTGCTTTTACTCAAATCGTTTTTCCACCAATTCTATGAAAAGCTTAAGACTTGCCTACACCGTGTCAAGCACTAGGTAGGTCCTTTTTTCTGTTTGGTGGGCTTTTCATTTTAAGCAGATTCCCTATATTGATCTGTTTGTACCCAATTGCCTTAATGAAGTTATGTGTAGTCGGTGTGACCTTTCTCCCTGAGGAACATCAGACATGGTCACCCACAGCTTGTACACACAGCTACGTTCTTCCATCACCCGTGAATACATACAGCCACTTTGCAGTGTAGCCGCTATTTTCTAACCAATGAATCAAGTGAGAGGGAAGCCACCGATTGACCAATGAGCACGACGATGATGATGATGATTATTATTATCATCATCATCATCATCATCATGATTATTATTATTTCTACTTTTATTACTAGATACTAGTATCTGCTCAACTGCGGTTTATTACATCACACTGACAACATGACAACTGACAACCCTGCGTATCATGTGCCATAGCTTTGCTGTCATCTGGTTCCAATATTGTCAGCATTGGTCTGCTCGGGTGTACATATAGCAAAGAGTAGGGCTGGTTTGACTTCCGTCAGTTGTACGCGGCAACTAGCTCCCTAAGACAAGACACACATCACCACTACAGAGCAGGGAATGTCTTCACCGGTGATGGAGGAACCTGGTTGGATGGAGCCTGTGAAGTGTTGTGGATGCGTGACAGAGCGATAATGAATGTGAGCATCTGACATCAACTAGAAGTAGGTTGAGATAAAGAATTTAAGTTATCAATGTTAAATAGGTAATTGTTCACGAATAATTTCTGAACTGATGAAAAGCTGTATGATTGACTGACTGGGTCTTTGAATGTGTCATTTTTCTCTGCTCCGAGTAGTGATGGAGCATGTCTGCTTGTAAAATGTCTGCCTATAAAAATATTGCTCTATTTTTACTCCCTTGTCTCCAGAAATGTCCTTGAAATTGTTTCATCTATTACTGGGGCAAAGTTTGATGTCTGGGTCCAGTGTCACAAAGAAATGCAAGTGTTACGTCATCAGTTTCCATTGATCCGAGGCAGTCGAATGGTCTCAGTGCTGCTGTTGCTTTGTGAAACTGGGTTGCCAAGGTAACTAGACAGTTGGTTCAAAGCATGTCACAGAATAGCTGAAGCTTTCTTATGGTCAAGACCTGGATAGTGAAATACACCTGACCATCAGTACAAACTGTGTTCAAGTATTTGTATTAAAAAATACCACAAACCAATATGTTACAATGGTCAAGGTCATTCACGAAAGTATTTGCATGGAAATATTAATAACTGGTTTAAAGTTGCTCTGTTTTGTAGACTGTTTATGATCCTCCGCCAAGTGTAGATTGGTGAAATGTCTTTTAGAGACCAGTTTTATGATTATGAAGATTTGTTATGTTCGTGTTTGGGTATATGTTTTTGTGAGTAATGTGCCTTGTGTGTTTGTTGAAGTGATTTTACTATCATTATCATCATTTTACCAAATTGAGCCAAACATTTCTCAAATTCTAAAAAATTCTGCATGAGGTTATCGTGATCCTTTGATGCATGATTCAAAGCGGAACTTGTATCCATAGATTTTAATTTAAAGAAATGGCAAATATGGGGTTCTGTGAATTTGTCAGCCTGTTTTAGGTTAAACAACATGGATTTAGTGCCACATACCTGTTATTACACTGTCTGTCACTACAGAAACATCAGTTCATTACATTTTAACTGAAATGTACCTTAAAAAGGAGTTTCATTTTAGTTCTCCCCATCACAGGGCTACAGAGAAATGACCAGTGATATTGTTTACAAGAATGCAATTAATGTTAGGTTTGGTGTAATTTGATTCGTGTACAGATTGTATGTTTGTGATTGATTTTTTTATGAGGCCTGTTATGGATGACTCACAGAGGCATCCATGGAGAGAACAGTACTCAGACTTACAAAAATGTCATTCAAACACAGTTATTTGTTTTTTTCAAGTTTTCCTTTAAAGGATTAATATAATCTTAATATGATTCACCTATTTCCTATCAGACGTCGCCTTATCTTTGTAAGCCGGACTTCATAAGCAAGACTGGAGTGTCAGTAAAACAAAGTAGCGGTCTGTGATTGTACAAAGACTTCTAGGAACTGTATTGTGTGTATGATTAACTGTAAATAGAGTGTGTCAACCCTACTCGGACTGTATCGTCTATCGGTGGTATTTATAAATACCCATCATGCTATCAAGATTCATGTAATAAATTAAACACAGGCAGGGTGCTGCTGGTAGTGCTTAGAATTGTATGTGTTGTGTTGTCCTGCTTTGAAACATTCAATTTATGACAAAAAGTAGGAGTTAGAGACAGGTTAGGATTCATCAAGCAGGAATCTGTGTAAACTGCGAGGAATTAACCCAGTTAAATACTTAATAGCCTGTGATATCTCCTAAGAGCAGTGTAAGGTCAGTGGTAAACTCTATGTTGCGGTTAATGTGTCTGCATATCAACACAAATGTCTCTCCAGTGTATTTCTGTATTCAGAGTATTTCCTGGACAGACTGACAGTTTACTTGCTGCAGAAGGACAGTCTCCAGGGTCTGTTATTACTTTGTTATCTGAATCTTGTGTCAGCTGTCTGTATCATGAGTAGTGTTGGTATTCTGTGACCCACCAGGAGAAAAGGGACCGTATGGGTGCTGGGATACAATTGTGCTGTAACGTCATAAAAAAGTTTCACCTTAACTTACTTCAGTGAAGATCGCCAGTGTGTGGACTGTACAGAAATATCTTATTCTTTTCTCTTCATTTCGTAATGTAATAAAAACATTATTTCGAAACCTTACAGCATACAGGTCTAGTTTCAATTTAGGCGGTCGGGTAGCCTTGTGGTTAAAGGGTTCACTCGTCACGCCGAAGACCCGGGTTCGATTCCCGACATGGGTACAATGTGTGAAGCCCATGTCTGGTGTTTCCTGCCGTGATATTGCTGGAATATTGCTAAAAGCGGTGTAAAACCATACTCACTCACTCACTCTAGTTTCAATTCATCAGACAATATGTCTAAAACCTGCAATTATTACATAAACAGTTGTACGTCAGAGAATGAGTCCAAGTGTTTGATGTCATGTATCTCTATAATAAATATGAATTGAAGCTTTGAATTGTATTTTTGTGTTCCTGTGTAGTTTTAAATACTAATGAAAAGTCAAAATGTGTTTTTTCACCCATAAGGTCCATTTCTCCTGATTGTTACATTCTTTCAACTATAAGAGGTACATTGCTGTGCTATATATACAGAGGTTTATAGATACATACTGTCAGAGTTACGGTCTGTCTTTAAAAATGAAAAATATACTGTTTAACTATGTAACTCAGTCTATAATACATTGAAAATATACAGTCATGTTAAACATTGGTACTGACCTACTCATCACAATACTGGGATGTAGTGGTCCTGTATGTAGGGTTTATGAAAAGAGCCCCGATGTATCGATATCTAGAATCACAAACAACTGTAGCCTAAACTCAGAGCAGCCCATATCTGTACTATAGATAATAAAACATGACTGTGTTTATGTATGTTGTTTGTCATTTGTTAGTTGAGTCTGGTGTTCTGGACTGTCAACTTTGGCTCATCATCTGGGTTGGTTTTAAATCCTTGTTCCTCCTACCTCAAATTCCATATTCCCCAGATTATTGACCCTCGCCATGAAGTGGAAGGGGGATATAGGAATGGGTGCTGTCCGTCCTATCCATCACATTTCGTTTCCGGAGCACATAGATAGGTCAAGTGGTGAACTGGTGCCTTTTGATAGCTTGGGATTTTTTAAGAATTTATTTTTCGACTTTCCATGACAACAACTTTGACTTAGACTAAAAATGGAGTAGTATTGGTAGGGGATATGAGCATTTCATGCTTGTTTTATATATTTGTCCCTTGAGACGACTGAGCCTCCAGTATGGCATGATTTCAGTGTAATAGTTTTATATAATTTAAAGTTAAACCGACTCTGTTGTGTTGTGGATTGACCGTCTGCCCAAAGAGCGGAAGGTTGGTGGTTGGATCAAAAGAGTCACATCAAAAGACATCTTCCGCCTCCCACTCAGCATTAAGGGAATAAAACATGGACTGGTCGGCTCAGTGTGAGTATGAAGTGTCAGAGTGGGGCATCCTTGTTGAAATTGCTGCATGGTATCTGAGTTGGTGGGCACAAAAATATAGTCAAAATTCGGAACTTGTTCAAACAAATCTTCACACACGTGCATGCATTGACAGTGAGACAGTGAGTGAGAAAGTGATTTCGGATCAACTCAACTATTTGGGGTGGAGATGGAGGAGGAGGGGGTGGGGGGTATGGAATTGGGGTTGTATTGAAAAAAACAAATTGTTCCTGGTAATCTGGGAAAAAATAATTATGCTTCAGACTTGGGGGGAAAAAAGTAATTGCCTGCCACAAACCAGGCTCATGGTTTAAAAATGATATCTGGTTTTGTAGCTGTGGCAGAAAAATATGTAACCTCGATACAATATCCCAGCCCCTTCCCCCAGAATATAAACTGGTCCGTGCCTTTGGTAACATTCATTTAAATAAAACCGTGAAAGGCAAAGGACTTTCAGAGAGTTTGTTTTAACAACATCCTTGTAGATCTTTTACTATTTGATATTAATGAGCATGGCAAGAACAAATCCCAGATCTGATGCCAGACACATCCTCATGAAGCCAGGTGAATGATTAACTAGAAAGGACTTGACGACTGACAGCAGACCATGCCATATGCTCTCATGGGCCTCAGATCCCTTGGATCTGGGTTCTCACTTGGATCTGGGTTATCACTTGGGTCTGGGTTCCCTTGGGCCTCGATTCTCACTTGGGTCTGGGTTCTCCCTTGGGTCTGGGTTCTCCCTTGGGTCTGGATTCCCATTGGTCGGTTCTCCCTTAGGTCTGGGTTCTCCCTTGGGTCTGGGTTCTCCCTTGGGTCTGGGTTCTCCCTTAGGTCTTGGTTTTCCCTTGGGTCTGGATTCCCATTGGTCTGGGTTCTCCCATGGGTCTGGGTTCTCCCTTGGGTCTGGGTTCTTACATGGGTCATTGGTTCTCCCTTGGGTCTGGATTCCCATTGGTCTGGGTTCTCCCTTGGGTCTGGATTCCCATTGGTCTGGGTTCTCCCTTGGGTCTGGGTTCTCACATGGGTCTGGATTCCCATTGGTATGGGTTCTCCCTTGGGTCTGGGTTCTCACATGGGTCTTTGGTTCTCCCTTGGGTCTGGGTTCCCAGCCCATTCCTGCTGCCTCAGCCGTGATATTGCTGGGATATTGATAAAAGCGGCTCAATTGTGTAGATCGATGCTCATGATCTCAATCACTGTATTGTCTGGTCCAGATGCGATTATTTATAGACAGCCGCCATATAGCTTGAGTGAGTGAGTATGGTTTTACGCCGCTTTTTGCAATATCAAGTCAGGGGACACAAGAAATGGGCTTCACACATTGTACCCTTTGAGGAATCAAACCCGGGTCTTCGGCATGACGAGCGGACGCTTTAACCACTAGGCTACCCCACCGCCCCTCGTATAGCTTGAACATTGATGAGTGTGGTGTTAAACAACAAACAAAAGCGTCTTAAAACAATACTCATCTGGGTCCTGGTGAGCTAACAACGAACGAGGATAATATATTATTCCTTATGTTATTATGGAAGACAAAGAGAATATGCTTGTGTACTTGAATCCATAAGTTAGGAATGTTCTGTCTTGAATTGGTGTGTATATAGGGTCATCTCGAATTGAAAATACATGTTTAGGTCCTTGCTTAGTAAACGTCTCAAGACATGTCAAGATATTGTAGGGGTAGCCTTGGGGTTAAAGCGTTCTTTCGTCATGCCTAAGACCCGGGCTCGATTCCCCACCATCTTCCCGAGGCATCCACTAGCCCTTTAATCAAGGTCTTGCCTCGGAAAGATGACCCCCCCCTCCCCCCCCCTCCCCCCATGTGTACAATATGTTATGTGAAGCCCATTTCTAGTGTTCCCCAATAATGATGGAATATTGCTAAAAGCGGCGTAAAACCATACTCATTTCATGTATATTTACCATGTTTCTATTTACACAACCCTGATAACGTCAAATGAAGAGTGCGATAATATCTGACTACCATAGTGAAGGTCATTCTGTTACGTTGTGTACCTGTCTGCCATGTGTCGGTTGTATGTTGTTTAACGCCGCACTCAAAAGTGTTCCAGCTATATGACGGCGGTCTGTAAATAATCGAGTCTGGACCAGTCAATTCAGTGATTGACATCATGAACATCTACTCGGGATACGATGACATGCATCAACCAAGTCAGCGAGCCTGACTACCCGATCCCGTTAGTCGCCTCTTGCGACAAGCAAGAGGCGCTGAAGACCAAGTCTAACCCGGAGCTTCACGGGTATGCCATAATTATGTCGGCTAACATTGGAGTGAATACGGTCTCCAATATCACGGAGGGGGAATCCAGAAATGGGCTTCATACATTGAACAAATGTGGGGAATCAACCCCGGGCCTTAGACAAGGCGAACAATTTAATCACAAGTCGTCCACATCATTAATTAAGGTGAATGTCTGTGACATTCGTGACCAACTCGTGTTATTCCGGGACAAGCAGGTTACGGAAAGGGGCGAGTGGTGACGAATGTGTCTGTGACAGCTCTCACGACTATGACGTCATATCGTCATGTGACGTCATAACAATAGTAAACACAACAATGGTTTCAAGAGCGGCAGATGCAGGGCACAATCGGCATTCAGATAAGCAATGTGAATGGTAGGTAGCAGTGTTCTTTATCATGTTTAGAGTGATGGATGATATTAGTGGAGACTCTCTATTCGATTTTTTTGACGATGTTCCAAGAGTCAAAAGCCACGCCACAGAGAAAGCTCAGACAATTGGACCATTTACGTCTCCTCCGTTAGAAGCTAACGGGACATTGAGCAGTCCGAAAAAAACCGTCGCGGTGGAAAATGAAGGACAAAATCGGACAGACCGACACAAGCTAGACCGTCAGAACCAAGATATTTACTCCGACGATCTGCCTGTTGCCGACTCACTGCCCTCCCAAGGTTTGGAGGTCGGCGAGGCTTCTGTGGAGTATGAGGACGAATTTGAATCTACACCAGAAACAAGCGTGAGTAACCCCAATGAGTTCGGTAGAGCGGACACTCGAGTTGAAGACGGCAGCACAACTGACAGCAGCGCTGTAGGGAGCTACAACTGCCGCCAACCGACCCAAATGTCACCAGGTCAGCGGAAGCATAATGTTTCCAGAACTATCTGGAGCAGAGATAAATGTATCCGGGGATGCTATCGGGTTACTAAGGCTGTGGGCTGCAAAGAAAAGCATTCATCTGAGCGCGGAACCACCGATCGAAGACTGCCGGGATCTAGGTACCGTTTGTCAGGGAAGAATCACAGTAAGGAAATTAACAAAACGTTTGATGGGAAGAAGACAGTACATTTGACATCGAACAGATTAAGGAAAAGGGGAGGCGATCAGCAAAGCTCACCTTCCGGACCCAACACGCGGCTCGGACGTGTGAAGGATGTGGTAGACAGTGGGGTATCTTTGGACATATCTTCTGAGGTTATTGCAGGTAACTATGACGACAGATACTTGAATAATTTCTCGGAATATTCGGTTAAAATGGCTTCCAAGAATAAACTGTCGCTGCCCAAAGTGGAAAAATCTGGCCGTGTACAGCTGACGAGACCAGACCGGACGACTGGGCACCGAGGTAGAGGTTACCGTGGGAACAAGACCTCGCCAAAAGAGAACCGAACTCACGTGTCAATGGCAAGCAAGTACATAGGAAGATCGGATCGAGACCCCAACAAACAACAGAGCAGGAAACCCGCCGTCCCGATCCCCCTGAAGTCGGATGCCATATACTGTAATGGCGAGCTGTCCGTGAATGTCAGCGGTGACAGACGCGGCAACCCGGACAGGAACAAGTTTAATGTGACTATAACAGTAATTCACAAGCACACCAAGTCGCGAGCGATGCCCTACCTCAGTCGACAGACTCGACCGCCACGGAAGTTGCCGCCATGTCCGCCAACAGACTGGGACATTGTCCAACACAGAGCGACATTCCCAGGCTTCAACACGGCAACAGACCCGGAAGTCAATAGGAGGTACCTGCAGCAGTTTGGCCTGTAGTGGGATGCTGAGCTGGGTTCACCTCTGGGGGATGCCTTTGTTGTCTTCTCTTTGGAATACTTGACAGTATTCATGAGTTTCACCTTTTCGCGAACTCCTGGTGTTAATCTGTGATAGTGATTCGTATACACACTGGCGGAAACGTGCAGTGGATAATATTATGCCTCTATTTCATTTGTTGTGTATATGTATTGTACTTATAAAGCCGTATTACCCAAAATATCTCGTGATATCATTGTATTATAACATATTAACGGTTTAAGATTCCACTACACGTCCGTGCTTGTGAATGCTGAAGATGATAACTTTGTTGTTTAACGCCGCACTCAGCAATTTTCCAGCTTTATGACGGTGGTCGATGAATAATCGAGTCTGGACCAGACAATCCAGTGATTGACACCATGAGCATCGATCCATGCAATTGGGATACGATGACAAGCATCAACTAAGTCAGCAAGCCTGACCACCGGAGCGCTTCTCCGACAAGCACAGTCGCCTGTACGGCAGGCATGGGTTGCTGAAGACCTCTATTCTCCCAGGATCTTCACGTGTAGATCAAGATAATTCTTCATGTATAGTTTGGGAATTCCCTGCAGACACACACTCGAGGTACACATTGGTCGTGTGGTGGACATCTGTGAATAACTTTCCTGGAAACAGGTTCCTGGAAGTTTTACCATTGATATTATTTACAGTATAATGATGTGCCGAACTTCACGTTGAATGGCACAAATGATTAACATTAATTCCTTAGTACAAACAATTGGCGATAAAACTGATCTCTTACTTGTTTGTCTATTTCTTGAACGCCGCACTCAGCAATATTCCGGCTATATGACGGCGGTCAGGAAATAATCGAGTCTGGACCACACAATCCAGTGATTGACACCATGAGCATCGATCCATGCAATTGGGATACGATGTATCAACCCAGTCAGCGAGCCTGACCACCCCATCCCTTTAGTCGCCGCTTACGACAAGCAACGGTTGCTGAGTACCTACTCTAGCCCAGAGTTTCACTGGGTGACAATATGGAGAGTGCGGCAAGGTTCAAGCTCGGAATATATGTATTGATTTTTATCATACGAAGGTAATTAATAATTGAATTCTCAAGGGAGTTTTGAAGTCTTGTTTGCCCTGGTGGTATTGTAACGTGCTTGTGTACGGATACAATGTACATGTGTGTTACAGCCGAAGTGAGTGGGTTATATCAGGGCTTGTCAGCTTGGTGTAGAAGGCTGAAGTGATGCAAATCTTTGACGTTTACCCACCAAGGTTTCTGTCACGCTTGAAGGACGCAGCTCGGCGAATATAGACCCGTGCTTCCCCATCTGCTTGTGTATGGAGGCCATGGCTGAGCACTGTAGTTGGTTGGTTTGTTGTTTAACGCCGCGCTCAGCAGTATTCCAGCTATATGACGGCGGTCTGTAAATAATCGAGTCTGGACCAGACAATCCAGTGATTAATATCATGAGCATCGATCCACGCAATTGGGATCGATGAAATGCATTAACCATGTCAGCGAGCCTGAACCCCCTGCAGTTATGGTAGTCACACCCACCACCCAAGCGTTTTTTTAAAAGAGGTTGCATTGGGGAATAGAAGTTCATATGTAGAAGTTCAGTAGTCGTGATTAGTGGAGTGGGTTCGTGAGCCAATGAGGTGTCAGTTTTCTAATACGATTCGGCTGCAGTTCGAGTTGGAAATGTCTGTTTGAACAAAAGTGAGTCTGCCCAGAAAGCATGTACTCCTTCAGTGGAACTGCCTGTCAGGTGTAGATGACATGACAATTAAAAAAGATGTATGCAATATCAACAACAGTACGCCCTTTATTACTTTCCATTCGGAACTGATCGTTTATATTCATTTTCGAGATTCAGAAATCAGATATGCTGTTCTGAATGCTTCTCAAGAATGTAGAAGACTGGACGCTGAGTTCTCAGATATTCACGCAGAGAGGTCAAAACTGATGCGATAACACTTCATCACCCCGAAGGATATTTGGTATCATAGGGAGTAAAGGTTGTGAGTGTAATGAGGTTGTCAATGATTGCGGACGTTCGCCAATTAAATGTACAAATGTATTGTTTGTTTTGTTTCCCGCCGTCAACGTCTCTGACGGCTCACAGTGCAGATTGACTCAGTGGCAGGTCAGATCCACTTCCGGGCTAAGTGCAACATCCATGGCTCTGATTGTATTCTGTCATTAAGGTGGATGAGTCACATGCAGTTCACGTGATGACGCAAACGGATGAATGGCAACGTACGACGCGCCAATGACGAGCACAGAAACTGTAACACCGAGTACAAAGTCTGCTTCCATCGTTACCGAACACATCACATGGAAGGTCCGTTCAAATAAATCCGACCTTTACCACGCAAGCATGTGCAAACATCTTAAGAGAGGTATATTAATTCTCTGATCTGGCAAAACTTAAGTTTGCCGCGTCAGGATCCGCTGATTTCATTATACCATTTACAGTGAGTGAGTGAGTATGGTTTTACGACGCTTTTAGCAATATTCCAGCAATATCACGGCGGGGAGCACTAGAAATTGGTTTCACACAATATACCCATGTCGGGTCTTCGGCGTGACGAGCGAACGCTCTTATCCACTAGGCTACCCGACCGCCCCTAGACCATTTACAGTGTATCCCAACATCAGGGGTCACATGGTTGAAAGTGTACCCCAACATCAGGGGTCACGTGGTTGAAAGTGTACCCCAACATCAGGGGTCACGTGGTTGACGGTGTACCCCAACATCAGGGGTCACGTGGTTGACGGTGTACCCCAACATCAGGGGTCACGTGGTTGACAGTGTACCCCAACATCAGGGGTCACGTGGTTGACGGTGTACCCCAACATCAGGGGTCACGTGGTTGACGGTGTACCCCAACATTAGGGGTCACGTGGTTGACAGTGTACCTAAACGCCAGGGCTCACGTGGTTGACAGTGTACCCCAACATTAGGGGTCACCTGGTTGACAGTGTACCTAAACGTCAGGGGTCACGTGGTTGACTGTGTACCCCAACATTAGGGGTCACGTGGTTGACAGTGTACCACAGCATCGGGTGTCGGTGATCATGTCATCGATCATTGATGTGTGACTTGATCTTTTTTTCACTGTGATAAAGTGGTACAGTAATATTCTTCATTACGGCGATCATAACACAAGTCACCGCCGTGTGTAAATCCATTATGACTCGCTTACTTAGTTTTTCGTGGAAATGACATCAAACAGGTTCAGTTTTCCGCCATGATGTCATCCACCCACATAGGTTATTTTTTAAATTCTTTGACGAAAAACATTATTGCCAGAGGAAGAAATGATGCGTTCTTGGAAACTCTTTCCCATCTGGTCACAGGTCGCCACTGGTCATGTACGCTGATATCAGCTGGGAATAGTTGTGTTTCTTCGGCGCGCCAGGATCCAACGAGTGTGTTCGAATCCCTCTAACTATCAACCTTCGTTTGGCAACTCCATGTGTTCGTGGTTTAGGCCAAAATAGTAAAACGTCCGTCGCCTGCGTCACGTGACTGCATGAGATAACCGACATACTGTTGAAGACGGCAACTCACCGAGGAAGCTGTTTGTTCTCGGCCGTTATCAGTCATATCTTCATGTTATCTGACCTCAACTTCTTATATTGGAGAACTCTATATCGTCCGCGTTTCCCATATTATTAAAGTCAGCAGATTGTTCAAGGGTCAAGGGTCATGAAGGTCCAGGGATTGTTGGCTATGACACCTTACCTTGTGAAGCAGCATGGGTAAATTTGGACAGAACAATCTGAAGACTATTGCAACCCCTCTACTTTAACATAGACAATAGTTGTCGCGTAAAGACCACTTTGTGCCAGGGTGTTGCTCTTGATCATGGAGACCACCTCCGTGGTCTGGTGGTAGAGCGTCCGCCCGGAGAGCGGAAGGTCGGGGGTTCGATCCCCGATCGCATCACACCAAGGGACGTTACAAGATGGTTCTTGTTGTTACCCTGTCCGGTGCCCGGCATTAAGGGGCTAAACAATGACTGACTCGGCTCGGGATCAGTATACTGTGTCAGAGTGGGGTATTCACCCCCCCCCCCCCCCCCCCCCCCCCCCCCCACACACACACACACACACATGCCGCAATATAAGTGCACCTCACCTCACCTCACCTTGATCATGGAACACAACAGCACTCACAAAACAAACTAAAATATCATCTTCTGGATAATATTTGTTGTGTATTCAAATTCTCAGCATTTATTGACCACATAATTTTACAAAATATATCTGTGCTTATATGAGTATACAGAAGGTGACTGAATGTCAGTTTTGAATTACGTCTAATGGCGTATGGACTTCGAACTTGTGACAAACGTTGATGTCTTGAGAAAACTCGTGTTACTGAATCCCTGCTGTCAGCCTCCTCACCCATCATGCCATCAATATACACAATACTGTTGAATCATTCTGCTACGTTATGCAATACTGTTGAATGATTCAGCTACGTTATGCAATACTGTTGAATCACTCTGCTGAAATATACAATACTATTGGATCATTCTGGTGCGCTTTGCAACACCGATGAAACACTCTGCTAAAACATACACTAAAGTTGAATCGCTCTGCTAAAACATACACTATAGTTGAATCACTCTGCTAAAATATGCAATATAGTTGAATCACTCTGCTAAAATATGCAATACAGCTGAATTCCTCTGCTAAAATATGCAATACTGTTGAATCACTCATCACTCTGTTAACATATGCAATACTGATCAATCCCTTTGCTAAAATATGCAATACTGTTGAATCACTCTGCTAAAATATGCAATAATGTTGAATCACTCGTAGTCCCGTAGTGCTTGTCGTAAGAGGAGACTAACGGGATCGGGTGGTCAGACTCGCTGACTTGGTTGTAGCCAAAATTGCGTAGATCGATGCTCATGATGTCAATCACTGGATTGTCTGGTCCAGACGTCATTATTTACAGACCGCCGTCATGTAGCTGGAATATTCTGGGTGCGGCGTCAAACAACAAACAAACAAAAATCCGTCGCCATGAACAGAGACGGAAGGGAAAGCTTGACGGCAAATTAGTGTTAGCGGTCCCCAGAGAGTAATGTCATGAGAGTTACATACCCTTTGTTTACGAAGTCACATGACTACAATCACATGCTTCAAAATGGCGGACGCCAGAGGTTGTTTCGTAACGCTGTTCCTGCTTTGTGTTTGTGCAAATGCACAATACCAGCCGAATTGGGCTTCGATAGATTCCCGGCCTCTACCAGCTTGGTATGATGAAGCCAAACTGGGAATATTCATTCACTGGGGAGTTTTCTCCGTGCCCAGCTTCTCCTCGGAATGGTTCTGGTGGAACTGGAAGGGCGGCCAGAGCACCCCGGGTGTCAGGTTCTTCATGCAGCAGAACTATCGACCTGGTTTCACGTATGCTGATTTCGCTGCATTGTTCACAGCGGAATTCTTCAACGCCGAGGACTGGGCTGACACATTTGCTGCATCAGGCGCACAGTAAGCGAGAGACACTGATTATATCTACTACTCAAAAGAAGTTATAAGCTGATAGGAAGTCTAAGGAGCACCCGATTCTTTCATGTTCCTATAGTCAGTCAAGACCTGACAGATGAACTAGAGTAATCTAAAAGATTCGAATGGTCCGTGACTTCTTTTGACAAATATTGAATCAGTTCTGTGAGTTTCGTATTCCCGTAGTTTTGTTGCTCTCATCGTGTTGTTTCCGATTTCTTATGTAGTATTCATTAGTGGTGGGATGATACACTGATGCATCGGTGGATCACGATTTTTTTTCTCCTCGATACAAGTATCAATCACAGTCAAACACTAGGCAAAAAGTATCGATTCTTACCTTAAGTGTTTTGAATAAGTGTTACACCAAACACTAATTACCAGTGAAAATGAGTAGTGAAAACGTAAATATTTTCATCCATTGTGCCATACTTGACACTGCAAACTGTTAATCATCAGTGTACCAGGTATTTGACAATCCTGTCTATGAAAAAGATGGCTTACGCACCACAGATAAGTGCACATGCAAGTATCGCGATACATATCGGATCGTGAGCAAGGTATCATGATACGTATCAGACCACACAGTTGGTGTATTGTCCCAGCCCTAGTGTTAATTACCTTAAATCAGGACACTAATGCATCATCAACTAAATGCACACCTGGCCTAAAAATGAGTTATGAAATTAGTGCTAGCACCCTTGCCTTTGAACTATAATAACTAATCCATAGAATTTCATGATATATTCGTTCTACGCCACATGTCACTATTATGACATCATATCGCTCATTGTGACACAAAAGGTATGACATCACAGTATATGGGAAAAGCACCCAATGTTAAGCTCACTTTTGTCCTCAAGACTCAAAATACATACTCTTTGTAGAGTTCTATCGTGTTTTCTGCATGAAATGTATTGCCACACATTTGAATATTGTAGTGACCGCATCTTTACATTTTGTAACCTGTATTTGTACATGTTCTAAATATAATTTTTTAATGTTAAGCTTATATATATATATGGCTTTTCCATTGGACGAGAGGTGATGTTCATAGGTGTATGGCACAATTTGTTTTTCATACGTTTTTCACAAGACTGTATTCTTGTAATTACGTAAACACTGAACCCCTTTCAAATTTCTGGGTAAAACCCTGGGAAAAATCCCAAGCACGAATACATACAGAAGCGTTGTCTTTTATCATTAAGGCCCTTTAATCTTGAACTCAGCATTTTAGCATACATAGAGAAACGTAGTATTGACTTGATCCATGTCTTGACTGACAGTGACAGTCGATAGCAATCTATGATTTACCTTAGTATCTATTTGACACATCTTTATCGTCACCTTTCAATGATCGACCAACTGATTTATGATGACTAACACATGTAACCGCCACAGGTTCATTAACAACTTCGGAAATCTCTCCCATCACGTTTATCGTGTTGGACATTTTGATGCCTTGAACCTGATGTAAATGTATTTTGATGTGCTGTCATTGTGACTGACTTACTGAGGTAGTTCTTAACAGACCTGTCTCATCCATTGATGATATTATTTCAATACATTTCTTGTAAACAAACTACAACTGATGTTCCTGTAAAACAAGTTGAGCATACATTCACGTCACCTCTCTATTTGAGGAACTATTTTATCCCATGATAGAGCTGTTTTTTTATGGCTGTCAGTGTAAACATGAAGTTAGACATACTAAATACAATTGTGTATAGATCTAGACCTTCAAACTTCAAGGTAAAATATATTAATATGAAAAATTATAAGAATTGACTTTGTGTGAGCCCATTGAATTATGATCCTTCATCATGGTAAGTTGTTTTTATGCAAATGAATTGTGAGAATTAACGATTTCATTTCAGGTACATAGTATTTACAAGCAAGCATCATGAAGGTTTCTGTAATTGGCCTTCAAAGGCATCATTTAACTGGAACTCTATGGATGTCGGACCCAAGAGGGATATTGTTGGTACGTATGAATTTGGACTGTGATATCATTGTGATTATAACATTAAACAAGTTTGAGGCCTTGTGTAGATGTGTTGGTTGTTAATGGTTGGTTGGATGAAGACAACCAACCAAGAAATCAATGATCATGATAATAATATTCTTGTGATTATTAGAAAGAAAAGGTCATAGTTGTTGACATGTCAAGTAAGAAATGGAATACACTTCACAAACAAATAAACGCAAACATTATCTGATTATGTAGACATTTAGTTTTTCCTGGATCAACAATACATTAAGCATTTTGAGAATTGGTATCTGTATTGACAGAGTGACCTGGGCTGCTGAGCTGGTAAAATAAGTTGAACTGGAATAAAACAAGAGAAATTAATAATAATCAAGCCTCATTTGATTGAGTACAGGGGGCGGTCGGGTAGCCTAGTGGTTAAAGCGTTCACTCGTCACCGGGGTTCAATTCCCGACATGGGTACATTGTGTGAAGCCCATTTCAGGTGTCCCCTGCCGTGATATTGCTGGAATATTGCTAAAAGCGGCATAAAACCATACTCACTCACTCACTGATTGAGTGCAGCAGTCTATTCCTGAGAGTCTGAAAACTCAAATGATTCACCTCATTGGTTGGCAGTGTAGTGAGTTTCAGAGTTTGAGGATGAAAGGCAACAGCTCTTTGCCCTAATCCTAATGTAGAGATATGGAGGGGTCTGTAGATTAAGATATAATAACATAAAGCTCATGGGGAACATAGGACCATGTCAATCACTGAGTACTGATGTAATGATGGCCTTAGAAACTGGTTTCTGGAGGTTTTATTGAGTGGCACAGGGGTAGAATAGGTCTTCAGCAACTTATGCTTGCCGTAAACGGCGACTATGCTTGTCATAAGAGGCGAGAAACAGGATCGGGTGGTCAGGCTCGCTGACTTCTTGATGCATGTCATCCTATCCCAATTGCATGGATTGATGTTCAGTCACTGGATTGTCTGGCCCAGGGTTGATTATTTACAGTCTGCTGTCACATATTTTGAATATTGCTGAGTGCGGCGTTAAACAACAAACAAACTTATTTGGTAAAATAAAACACTGATACATGTGTATTCAGGGGAACTTGCAACAGCCATCAGAAACAAGACGAAGCTGCACTTCGGCCTGTACCACTCCATGTTTGAGTGGTTTCACCCCCTGTACCTCAGCGACAAGGCGAACAACTTCACCACCCAGGACTTTGTGAAGGTGAGTTTCACCAGTGGCATGTGTTTTACTCAGCTTACAGAAATAACACACTGCATAAAGACGTGAACATTACTTGATAGGATTGGGGACTATTTGCAACAAATCTGCTATCATCATGATCATCCGAGATGCTTTGTTTCCCCATAGTATTAAAAGAGTTATTTCCCTTTACCAGCGATCTGTGTTTAACTGAAGTGTTCCTGTCCTCGTGAAACTTTGCTAATAACCCTTCTTAGTGGACAAGATAACTTATGGGTCTTCGTGTAATGCCTGCTAACATTGAAACTTCCAGCCTCCCAAGACCTTGAATGAAGGTTGTATGAAACTAACAGTGAGCCTATTGAAGGCCGGGAGGCCGAAAGCTTGACTTTGGTTATTTATGTAATTATTTGAATTCCTCTATGGGAATGAACACATAAGCTGATCTAACATCCCTTGCTCTTATATACTGAACATGTCAATATCATTATTACACGGAAGATAGCATTTTCCCTTCATAAGGAACAACTGAACTAGCCATGGTCTCCAGGCTTTGAATGTTTGTGAGAGGTCAGGGTCATCCGAAGTCAAAACAGAGCAGTCGTCATAGTAACTTTATACAAACATCTGTATGTTTTTCATAATATATTTCATATTAAGAAAACACTAAAAAAGTATGAGAATCTGTACTTTACTAAGAAAGTGTTATCCCAAATGTAACATTTGTTACAAGGAAACACTTAATTATTAATTTGAAGATGTGTTCATTTGGATTTCAGTTCAATAACATCTCGTAGGTTTTCCACAAAATAATTTTTTTAGTTCATCCTCATCCTCAAACTTTTCTGTTCCTGTTTAATGGAGAGTTTCTGTGTCTGCGGAACTCTGGGAAGTTGGTGTAACAGTTGTAGGAACCTGGTTCAGTTAATGTTACTCAATAATGAATGGATTATTACATTGTTTGTTCGCCATGTTGATTTAGAGTATGGTCCGGCGTGACCATCATCAATAAGTGTAGCAGGGCGTGGAGTCATCCCACAGATGACATCCTTACCTTGTCAGCTTGCTGACAGGGTTAACCTCTTTGGTCATGTGGACAAGGCGTCCGACCTCTGATCAGAAGGTCCGTGGTTCGAATCCCATCACGGGACTCGGAAATTTTATGGCCGCTACATTGGCGCCCAACGTGGGGCTGAGCACGTTCATATTAAATTTGAGCAAAATAAGCCTCAGTACCCTACTATGCTGCCCGGGACGTGCCTTCTGTTGACGGGGGAGTATGTAGCAGGGCGTGGAGTCATCCCACAGATGACATCCTTACCTTGTCAGCTTGCTGACGGGGTTAACCTCTTTGGTCATGTGGACAAGGCGTCCGACCTCTGATCAGAAGGTCCGTGGTTCGAATCCCATCACGGGACTCGGAAATTTTATGGCCGCTACATAAGCACGAAGCATGACCATCGACCATAGTTCCATCCTGGTTAAGCACAGACTTGTCAGAGTGGAATAGGTTCATGGTTCATGTTTGCCATGTGTTTGCCTTGAATTTAAATAAAAAATGTATAAAAACTTACATGCCTCAATTCTTTTTAAAATAGGTATGAAAATGAAATAATTTATTATGGGCTCAGCAATGGTTGCCTGCTTTAAGATCTGGGTTAGAATTGGTCTATAGCAATCCATCCTTGTCGTAAGAGGATCTGGTGGTCAGACTCACAGACTTGGTTTGTTTCGTCTCATCATGTCCTAATTGTGTATATCTCAGCTCTCAGGATTGTTTTGACCAGGCCTGATTTTTACAGTCCACTGTCATATTGGGGGAATCGTGCTGAGTGCAGCGTTAACAACAAACAAACAAACAAACAGTTTAAGGTGGGAGCTGTAATGATGTGAGTGTGTAACAACAGGACAAGACAATGCCGGAGCTGTATGAGCTGATCAACACGTACCAGCCCGATGTCATCTGGTCGGACGGAGACTGGGAGGCTCCTGATGTCTACTGGAACTCCACCCAGTTCCTAGCCTGGCTTTACAACGAGAGGTGAGAAGGGAAGCCCGCTAAAACTTCTCAAATGGATATAATCTCATTTTACTCTGATTCAGTACTTATCGGCCAAGATCTGACAAACCCTCATCTATTTAGATACGTCAGGTGACCCCAGGTCAAACCGGGACTGCCCAATCAAACTGGAGATTTCATGGGCTTTTGTTTTTTCAAATTGTAACAGCTTTATCGGTAGATTTACTAATTTAAGGGGATGGCGACATGGAACCAATACCAAAAAAAGTTACTTTTCATTGATTGAAATACATGACTGAAACATATCCATAGCATAGTACAGCCATTTTAATCTCCATTTGGAACTATCTGCATATGTTCTTTTTCAGTTCACAGAAACAAGATATGTTGCTCTGAATACTGGTTCACTTGTATTGAAAATCTTGAAGATGTAATCATGCTCGTGTGGTTGACTGTGACAGATATCTCCCCTCCCCTTCTCCCCACCTCGTTAGACTCGTTAGTCCAGCCAAAATGTAACTCCATAATGCCAGCCTAGTTTGGCAAGGGTGGAAACTGGACTTTTATAGTCAGTTATCTCCCTTGCCTCAGGAAGATGTGATTACTCTGTGTTTAGACGTTTCACGTTGTCCTGCAAGAGAAGGTATACTAATACATGTATGATACACATGATACATGCAATGTGATTTCTGTATCATCAAACTCTACTTGTGAGCTGTGAGACAAGTACAGCTATGTTCTTTCTTTACTTTCAGTCCAGTAAAAGACACCGTTGTCACAAACGACAGATGGGGAAAAGGTATCGCGTGTCATCATGGGGGCTTCCTCACCTGCAGTGACAGGTATAATCCAGGTAAGAACAGGTACATGAATAGTTGCCCACTGCCTTGTACTATGAATTTATGCATACTGATATAGAGGGTTGTAGGAAATCATTGAACTATCGATGCATTACCCTCTGTGATATCTAAGACAAAATTGTTATGGATGAGCAACTTCTTTAATACAATTGGGTGACGTTTAGGTGTAGATTCTAACACCGTTATCAAGCAAATGATATCTATATGAATCTACACCGAAACGTCACCCAATTGTATTAAAGAAGTTGCTCATCCATAACAATTTTGTCTTAGTTACCATTCCAACTTCTAAATGCCTATCAAAGAAACTCTGTGATATGTTTAGATACACATTTACAGCTATCTGATCAGGCATACACTGAAGTTGACTGAAGCTCTATCTTTACCATGTGTACATCAGCAACTTGTAGTATAACCATGGACTTTTATTGTTGTTAAAACAATATCATGTGACAAACCCGTGTGTACCCGGGTCCTCCTCCGGACCCATCCAACGCGAGTACCCGAGTCCTCGTCCCAACCCTAGATCCTACAAACATAACACGATGGCTCCACTGTCAACATGGTCGGTGTTATGATGTCAGGTGGTTTGTTAAGTATAAGACAAGCTGGATGAGAACCTGACTTACTAACCTATCACTGTATTACCCTATACTGCACCAGGTTCCTGACTATTTCGGGTAAACCTAGCAACCATCTTCCAAACCTAGGTTTTGAAATGGGTCACTTTTGAATTTTCTTTGAGGTTTTACATTTCAATTGTAATACAAAGGTTTCATAATTAACGTTTTATACACTTTTCTCTGGATATGAACACAATCGTGTTTGATGATTGGTTAAAAGTCATTTTTATTACAAGAAAATTCCATCACATGAATCGAACCTGTAACTTCACATGTCGCGTTAAGTTTTGTTCCATTATACATGTTATAAGGTATGTTGATGTTTTCTTATTTTTTCTGGTATTTCTTGCATTTTGGACGTTTCACAAGTTGGATTAAATACGGCTCCTCGGTTTTGGTTGAAAATGTAAAACCTTGAGTTTCGTGGAAAGCCCTCAGAGCCTACACCCCTGGGGGCTTTGTCTTGCTCACGGTTTCAGATTTTCAACCACAACGGAGGTGGTGTGTTTCATCCTATACATATACACTGTATTGCAGCTGAACAATCTCACAATATGTTCTCTCATGCAGGTGTCCTCCAAAAGAGAAAATTTGAAAATGCCATGACGGTTGATAAATATTCATGGGGATATCGACGTAATGCAAGAATTACAGACTTCCTGAGCATGGAGGAACTCCTGGGTACTTTCATCCAGACTGTCAGGTAGGACGTGTGATAGAGTTGTTGTTGTCTTCAAGTGTGCCTCATCAATGTTTAGTGCGCCATCATTTCCATTTGTGTGTAGCATTTGGGGTTATACAGGGTTAGAACTAAACCGTGACATCTTGCATTTTCCATTTGTCATATTTGTCTCTGGTATGATATATAGTATAACTTTATGTTATCACAGGCTCTATATTATCGAGGGCTCTATATTATCACGGCTCTATATTATCGAGGGCTTTCTATTCTCACGGCTCTATATTATCGAGGGCTCTCTATTATCACGGCTCTATATTATCGAGGGCTCTCTATTATCACGGCTCTATATTATCGAGGGCTCTATATTATTGAGGGCTCTCTATTATCACAGCTCTATATTATCGAGGGCTCTCTATTATCACGGCTCTATATTATCGAGGGCTCTATATTATCGCAGGCTCTATATTATTGCAGGCTCTATATTATCACGTCTCTATATTGTCGTGGGCTCTATATTATCACGGCTCTATATTATCACGGCTCTATATTGTCGTGGGCTCTATATTATCACGGCTCTATATTATCACGGCTCTATATTATCGAGGGCTCTATATTATTGCAGGCTCTATATTATCACGGCTCTATATTGTCGTGGGCTCTATATTATCACAGGCTCTATATTATCACGGATCTATATTGTCGTGGGCTCTATATTATTGAGGGCTCTTTATTGTAAAATCTTGTAATCCACACCCCTGTCGACTGTTTACTTGTGCAAATCTAAACACGATATTACATTGCTTGATTGTCACAGCTTCTTGTAAGTATACACTTTAACCTTTTTATGATAGTTTCTGGAATGTGTTTGAAGTGGAATTACCCATACCTTTTGAAACTGGTTAGAAAAGAACCCATTTATTCAGACAAAGTCCCTTGACCCAACCTAGGTATGCATAATCCAAAACAGTTTTGAATTGGTGTAAAGGATCTGAGTTTCATGAGATTGAAGGATTGTCATCATCAGTGTTTGAAATAATTTTAAAACTCAACAAGACAGTCAGGCAGGTGACTCATGAGCGTTGCCGGCCCATCTCCATCATTACCTACCAACATTGACATTATATATGTTGAAAAATCACAAAAACTAAGAGACAAGTTGCATCTTGATTCATTTGAAGATATGCAAACAATTACTTGTGAATCTACAAGGAGTTGTAATAGAACTGAATACACAAGTAGTCTTAACATTATCTGCCAGACTGTTGGGCAGGTGGAGGAAAGTTTCATACAGCCCGACAGAACAGTTACCAGCCACGGCCAGCGGGCAGGCAGTTATTTCGGACACTGGTCATCATGGCCTGATATTGTTTTGACAGATATGTTTTATTTCTGCACAGCTGTGGAGGAAACATGCTGATGAATGTTGGACCCACCAAAGACGGCCTCATCATCCCGCTATTCCAGGAACGTCTCCTGAATATGGGCGAGTGGCTGAATGTCAACGGTGATGCCATCTACAGTACACGCCCCTGGACATTCCAGAACGACTCCCTCACTAACAATACATGGTAAGTAAAGTTTCTCGGCCAACGCCGGCTGGAATAGTGTTTACTTGTGCCAACATTGTCTTGAATAGTGTTTCCATGCCAACATAGACTGAAATAGTTTTTCCATGCCAATGTAGACTAGAATAGTGTTTCCATGCCAATGTAGACTAGAATAGTGTTTCCATGCCAATGTAGACTAGAATAGTGTTTCCATGCCAACCTAAGACTGAAATATTGTTTTATGCCAACATAGACTGAAATAGTGTTTCCATGCCAATGTAGACTAGAATAGTGTTTCCATGCCAATGTAGACTAGAATAGTGTTTCCATGCCAATGTAGACTAGAATAGTGTTTCCATGCCAATGTAGACTAGAATAGTGTTTCCATGCCAACCTAAGACTGAAATATTGTTTTATGCCAACATAGACTGAAATAGTGTTTCCATGCCAATGTAGACTAGAATAGTGTTTCCATACCAATGTAGATTAGATATTGTGTTTCCATGCCAATGTAGACTAGAATAGTGTTTCCATGCAAATATAGACTAGTTTAGTGTTTCCATGTTAACTTAGGCGAGAATAGTGTTTCCATCCCAACTTAGGCGAGAATAATGTTTCCATGCCAATGTAGGCTGCAATAGTATTTCCATACCAATGTAGGCTAGAATAGGTTTCCATGCCAACGTAGGCGAGAAAAGTGTTTCAATGCCAACGTAGGCTAGAATGTTTCCATGTGAACTTAGGCTAGAATACTGTTTCCATGCGAACTTAGGCTAGAACAGGTTTTCATGCCAATGTAGGCTTGAAAAGTGTTGCCATGCCAACATAGGCTAGAATAGTGTTTCCATGCCAATGAAGACTAGAAAAGTGTTCCCATGCTAACATAGGCTTAAATAATGTTTCCATGCCACCGTAGGATGGATTTGTGTTTCCATGCCAATGTAGGCTAAAATAGTGTCTTCATGCCAATGAAGACTAGAATAGTGTGTGTGATTATTTTCACAGTGACACATACTTAACATGGTAACTTGAAACATTTACAACCAATGGAGGCTTCTGGCCAGGTCCCCATGCTTGTCATAAGTCTGTACCAAAACTAATGAGTTGATATAGTTTATCTACTCAGTCCGCTGTAGTTTAGCTGTACTGAGGCAGTCTGAAGTGTAGAAGGGGATTTGTATGTAGCAAGCAGGGCTTGCTCCTTTTGAAAGTTACTGGCCCTTCTCCAAACTAACTCAACTAAATCCTGGGGGCTGCGAAATAATTTAATATACATGGAGGCAACTAATGGGATCGGGTGGTCAGACTCGCTGACTCGGTTGATGCATGTCATTGTATCCCAGTATGTGGATCGATGCTCATGATGTCAATCACTGGATCGTCTGGTCCAGACTCGACTCCTTACAGACTGACGTTATATAGCTGGAATATTGTTAAGTGGTGTTAAACAACAAGCAAACAAACAAAGTTGAGCCGCCTCTTTCAACAAGCCTAGGCTGCTGGGGACCACTCCTACCCATGCATCATGTGCCGTGTTGCAGGTACACCTCAAAAGTTAGGATTAGGGCTTGGGTTAGGGGCAGAATGGAATAAGTAGGCAGGGTTAGGTTAGGGTTAGGGCTGGAATGTGTACACCATCATGGGTAAGGTTAGGGTTAGGGGCGGAATGTGTACGCCATCATGGGTTGGGCTAGGGTTAGGGGCGGAATGTGTACACCATCATGGGTTAGGTTAGGGTTAGGGGCGGAATGTGTACGCCATCATGGGTTGGGCTAGGGTTAGGGGCGGAATGTGTACACCATCATGGGTTAGGTTAGGGTTAGGGGCGGAATGTGTACGCCATCATGGGTTGGGCTAGGGTTAGGGGCGGAATGTGTACACCATCATGGGTTGGGCTAGGGTTAGGGTTAGGGGCGGAATGTGTACACCATCATGGGTTGGGCTAGGGTTAGGGTTAGGGGCGGAATGTGTACGCCATCATGGGTTGGGCTAGGGTTAGGGGCGGAATGTGTACACCATCATGGGTTGGGCTAGGGTTAGGGTTAGGGGCGGAATGTGTACGCCATCATGGGTTGGGTTAGGGTTAGGGGCGGAATGTGTACACCATCATGGGTTGGGCTAGGGTTAGGGTTAGGGGCGGAATGTGTACACCATCATGGGTTGGGCTAGGGTTAGGGTTAGGGGCGGAATGTGTACGCCATCATGGGTTGGGCTAGGGTTAGGGGCGGAATGTGTACACCATCATGGGTTGGGCTAGGGTTAGGGTTAGGGGCGGAATGTGTACACCATCATGGGTTGGGCTAGGGTTAGGGGCGGAATGTGTACACCATCATGGGTTGGGCTAGGGTTAGGGTTAGGGGCGGAATGTGTACACCATCATGGGTTGGGCTAGGGTTAGGGGCGGAATGTGTACACCATCATGGGTTGGGCTAGGGTTAGGGTTAGGGGCGGAATGTGTACACCATCATGGGTTGGGCTAGGGTTAGGGTTAGGGGCGGAATGTGTACACCATCATGGGTTGGGCTAGGGTTAGGGTTAGGGGCGGAATGTGTACACCATCATGGGTTGGGTTAGGGTTAGGGGCGGAATGTGTACACCATCATGGGTTGGGCTAGGGTTAGGGGCGGAATGTGTACACCATCATGGGTTGGGCTAGGGTTAGGGGCGGAATGTGTACACCATCATGGGTTGGGCTAGGGTTAGGGTTAGGGGCGGAATGTGTACACCATCATGGGTTGGGCTAGGGTTAGGGGCGGAATGTGTACACCATCATGGGTTGGGCTAGGGTTAGGGTTAGGGGCGGAATGTGTACACCATCATGGGTTGGGCTAGGGTTAGGGTTAGGGGCGGAATGTGTACACCATCATGGGTTGGGCTAGGGTTAGGGTTAGGGGCGGAATGTGTACACCATCATGGGTTGGGTTAGGGTTAGGGGCGGAATGTGTACACCATCATGGGTTGGGCTAGGGTTAGGGGCGGAATGTGTACACCATCATGGGTTGGGCTAGGGTTAGGGGCGGAATGTGTACACCATCATGGGTTGGGCTAGGGTTAGGGTTAGGGGCGGAATGTGTACACCATCATGGGTTGGGCTAGGGTTAGGGGCGGAATGTGTACACCATCATGGGTTGGGCTAGGGTTAGGGTTAGGGGCGGAATGTGTACACCATCATGGGTTGGGCTAGGGTTAGGGTTAGGGGCGGAATGTGTACACCATCATGGGTTGGGCTAGGGTTAGGGTTAGGGGCGGAATGTGTACACCATCATGGGTTGGGTTAGGGTTAGGGGCGGAATGTGTACACCATCATGGGTTGGGCTAGGGTTAGGGGCGGAATGTGTACACCATCATGGGTTGGGCTAGGGTTAGGGGCGGAATGTGTACACCATCATGGGTTGGGCTAGGGTTAGGGGCGGAATGTGTACACCATCATGGGTTGGGCTAGGGTTAGGGGCGGAATGTGTACACCATCATGGGTTGGGCGAGGGCTAGGGTTAGGGGCGGAATGTGTACACCATCATGAGTTGGGTTAGAGTTAAGGTTAGGGGCGGAATGTGTACACCATCATGGGTTGGGCTAGGGTTAGGGGCGGAATGTGTACGCCATCATGGGTTGGGCTAGGGTTAGGGGTGGAATGTGTACGCCATCATGGGTTGGGTTAGGGTTAGGGGCGGAATGTGTACGCCATCATGGGTTGGGCTAGGGTTAGGGGCGTAATGTGTACGCCATCATGGGTTGGGTTAGGGTTAGGGGCGGAATGTGTACGCCATCATGGGTTGGGCTAGGGTTAGGGGCGGAATGTGTACGCCATCATGGGTTGGGTTAGGGTTAGGGGCGGAATGTGTACGCCATCATGGGTTGGGCTAGGGTTAGGGGCGTAATGTGTATGCCATCATGGGTTGGGTTAGGGTTAGGGGCGGAATGTGTACGCCATCATGGGTTGGGCTAGGGTTAGGGGCGGAATGTGTACACCATCATGGGTTGGGCTAGGGTTAGGGGCGGAATGTGTACGCCATCATGGGTTGGGCTAGGGTTAGGGGCGGAATGTGTACACCATCATGGGTTGGGTTAGGGTTAGGGTTAGGGGCGGAATGTGTACACCATCATGGGTTGGGCTAGGGTTAGGGTTAGGGGCGGAATGTGTACACCATCATGGGTTGCGTGAGGGTTAGGGTTAGGGGCGGAATGTGTACGCCATCATGGGTTGGGTTAGGGTTAGGGGCGGAATGTGTACGCCATCATGGGTTGGGCTAGGGTTAGGGGCGGAATGTGTACACCATCATGGGTTGGGTTAGGGTTAGGGTTAGGGGCGGAATGTGTACACCATCATGGGTTAGGTTAGGGTTAGGGTTAGGGGCGGAATGTGTACACCATCATGGGTTGGGTTAGGGTTAGGGGCGGAATGTGTACACCATCATGGGTTGGGCTAGCGTTAGGGGCGGAATGTGTTTCGCCATCATCGGTTGGGCTAGGGTTAGGGGCGGAATGTGTACGCCATCATGGGTTGGGTTAGGGTTAGGGGCGGAATGTGTACACCATCATGGGTTGGGTTAGGGTTAGGGTTAGGGGCGGAATGTGTACACCATCATGGGTTGGGTTAGGGTTAGGGTTAGGGGCGGAATGTGTACGCCATCATGGGTTAGGTTAGGGTTAGGGGCGGAATGTGTACGCCATCATGGGTTAGGTTAGGGTTAGGGTTAGGGGCGGAATGTGTACGCCATTCATGGGTTAGGTTAGGGTTAGGGTTAGGGGCGGAATGTGTACGCCATCATGGGTTAGGTTAGGGTTAGGGTTAGGGGCGGAATGTGTACGCCATCATCCTACCCGTGCATCATGTGCCGTGTTTTGTTGCAGGTACACCTCGAAAGTAACACCCAGCGGGCGGAATGTGTACGCCATCATCCTTGATTGGCCCAAAGGGGATACACTGAGCCTTGGACGACCTTTGACCACCGTGGCAACGACAGTGAGCATGCTGGGATATCCAGGAAACTTCAACTGGAAGGAGAGAAGCACTGGAGGCATGGACATTGAGATTCCAGCCATCCCCATCAACAAGATGCCCTGCAAATATGCCTGGGTGTTCCAGTTGACTGGCATTGGGAACTGACCAACTGCGACGTAGTAGTTAGATTTGAGGCTTGTTACAATAACTTTCGTGTTTCTCATGCCACCCACTCTTAATATGTGACCACCAGGAGAAAGGGGACCTTAGGGGTTCTTGGATGCAACAGTGCTGTGATGGCATAAAGATGTTTGACAGCAACTTACTTCAGTGAAGATAGATTGTGTGATGTCATGTATCTCTGAAATACATATGAATTGATGCTTGTGAATTGTATTTTTATCTACCGAAATACTGTAGTTTTTAAATATGAAAAGTCAAAATGTGATTTTTCACCCATAAGGTACCGTATCTCATGGTTGCTCACATTTTTTTATTTTAAGAACATCTGAAATTTGTTTTTGCACTGGATTTTGACATTTTACAGGTCATGCCGGTGTGAGCTCCGGGCCATGTCCTCCCTCCCTAATAAGTCAGTGTGGACGCAAGTCATGAGAAACACAAATATTTGTTTAACTGGCCTAAGCAGCAATGTGATCCTTCAGTATGTTTATATATATATATATATATATATATTAATATATATATATACACTCACAAGGTAGAACTCATAAATTCGTTGATGATTTTCCAATCAGAGTCCCACAGGGCCACAGATCTCAAACTATATCCAAACTGGATAGATTGAAAAAAAATATTTGAATTTGTGTGAAACTTAACAGCTGGCGTGTGTGCGTGTGTGTGGTATTATTATTATTATTACTATTATTATTATCATTGCATAAGGTTTGGCACCTGGAACTCAATACCTGGTGATGGTGCCATGAGGTACTCATGCTGTCTTTTGATACAAGGAAGTGCTTTTAAATAATAGTTCCAACGTGCAATACTCCTGATGGGGAACTGCCGCTTGAAGCCTGAGTACACAGTGTGTATTGAAGTCTAAGGTCGTAACTAAAGTCACTGTTTATCTGTCTGATTGTGGACAGCATTTGGGGCATCAGGGTAGCCTATGTGTCAGTCAGCATCTTGGTCCAACACAACTGAAAAGGGAAATATAAAGAACAAACATCATGATCACTTTTAAAGAATATATCAAAATATTATTTTTATGATATCTTTTGAATTTAAATTTATTTATTTTTTATTATTAAGACATGACGTGCAGAAGAATTTTGAAGGAATTTATAAGAAACTTCCTGTCCACTATCTAAAACTAATTTCTGGTCTGGTACCAGTAGGCATGATGTATTGAGTCTGGCCATGGTAATTCTGTAGAGGGACGTACAATTACTTCAGATATGTCAGTTCCATGTACATGTCTTGACATATTGTGGACTCATTGTACATATGTCATTGTACGTGCAGTGCATTTGTGAATCTTGTGTCTTACTCTTGCTTTCCTCACAGTCTGTACTATAACATGTTTGTCCTGTCTGTACTGTAACATGTTTATCCTGTCTGTACTGTAACATATTCATCATGTCTGTACTATAACATGTTTATCATGTCTGTACTATATAACATGTTTATCATGTCTGTACTATATAACATGTTTATCATGTATGTACTATATAACATGTTTATCATGTCTGTACTATATAACATGTTTATCATGTATGTACTATATAACATGTTTATATTGTCTGTTCTATATAACATGTTTATCATGTCTGTACTATATAACATGTTTATCATGGTGATGCACATTGTTTATCTTCAAGCTTGATTATGATCATGAATAAAATGTAACAATTATTTTCATAACAAATAAATGAACAAGACTTTGACATGAATTCAGTCTTTCAAATAAACATTTTGACATATTGTCTCCTGATGTCTATTCTCTGTGATTCACGAGCAAGGTTGCTACAGACGTGACTGCATTTTGGTTTTTTGTGGGTATTCAAGTACCTCATATATTATCACAGAGTTATGATGCCGATCCATTCTGAATGACGGGTGCCCAGCATTTCGTGGCCAACTCGTGTTATTCCGGGACAAGCCGAATAGCGACTTGTGCCCCTCTCATGGCCATTTTTGTGACCGGGTTCCGTCTTAGCGCAAACGGGCATACCTAAAACGCCAACACGTTACGTCATGGTTCACATGTCATCGCACTCCGGCGCAGTGGTGACTCAGCACAACACCACTGCCACTGGCTAATTTGCATATCTAGTGACCGGACTTCGCTCTTGTTTGAAAACAAACGCACTTTTTCAGAGATCAGTAGTGAATGGACTAATGCAAGTATTTGGGAACGCTTTACATATTGTTTTGCATAATTATATAGATATGCTACTACAACTGCGACAGTGAGTTGCATGGCAATGTAGCAGTTTCGTGCATGTCTTTTTAGATTGAACAAACACATCACCACTTTAAATCTTTATTTGTTTGTTTGTTTGTTTGTTGTTTAACGCCGCACTCAGCAATATCAGCTATATGACGGGGTCTGTCAATACTCGCGTCTGGACCAGACAATCCAGTGATTGATATTCTGAGCATCGATCCACGCAATTTGGATCAATGACATGCATCAACCAAGTCAGCGAGCCTGACCACCCGTTCCCGACAAGCATAACGACACGCATAGTCGCCTTTTATAGCAAGCATGGGTTGCTGAAGATCTATTCTACCCCGAATCTTCACAGGTCCACTTTAAACAGCTCCAGTTTATTAATCTCTGGGTAACCTTGGACTATAAATATCTAGCAATCCCAACATATTATTTTACCCACATAGTTAAACATGTAGTTAATCTACGAATTTCCAACCAGTCGCTCCAGTACGTAAATAAAAAAATATGATCTTCTTAAGGTGGCCCTTACATTTGTGTGAAATCACATTGTTATATTTCATGGCCACAGATTACACTGGGCACACAGAATCATACCATCTTTTTATAATTCAAAACCACAACACAATAAATAACATTTGAAACCGGTTGCTTGGAAAATATTCCCCATAACCAAACATTGTGTCATACTTGCCCGAGCCAAATCGGTGACAAATTTCGCTACATTTGTTGAAGTTAAAAGTAAAAACTTCAAAGAAATAGGTACCTGAAACATATTTTGTCACTAACACGAATTTCAAGATGCGACAGAACAACGAAAACTCTGCAAATTGTTATTTATTATTATGTCACATGCTAATGATAACCGGGTATGTCAGTAGATATTTAGAATTCACAGGCTGGATTGTAGCCGTGACTGCCTATGCCTCTCTACTCGTAAGTCTCTCCCTCCTTCATGCTGTAGATGTACATGTAAACGTACGTGTAATACAGCTGACTGACTGGCCAACTGGCGCTCCCTCTTGTTTGGAGCCCGTGTTCCCGTCTTGCACATGGAGAGTGTCTTGTCACTCTGAATCTTTATACACAGATCTAAATCTGTTACAGGCGGTCTCCCTGGTCTCAGTTATTTCTAGTCTGTAAATCAGTGGAAGGGAATTGGCTGTTTGATTGTTATGGAACGATATCAGATCATCGATATACCTGAAACTTCTTGGCCAAATTACTTTGTTTTGACTTTGCCAATCAGGGCATTTGCATAAAGAAACAGATCCGCAAGAAGAGGAGCACGATTGTTGCCCATTCTATTTAACATGGCTCAAGGTTCTCCTGCAAATCTCCTTGATGTTTCAAGAAGGAACATCAATCAGCGGATTCTGAAACGATTATTGTGTGCACCTCTAGTGCCTAATATAGTTTAACTGATAATCAACAGCACAGGAGACAGTTTACGTTTGCAAGAATCTTTTTATTGAAATCATTTCATAAAGATGTTGATCGGGCGCTTTATTCCGCATCATCCTCAAATGCATCAGCAAACTCTTCTGCAAGTTGTTTTTGCAACAGTGGGTCTGAAAGGAAACAATTGACAGTATAAAATAATACACGTGTGCCAACTATGTTTGTCGTCCTTCAAATCAATAATCAGGGTCTGGGGTGGCCCAGTGGTTCAAAGATCCAGGATCAGCTGGTCTCGGTATCCGATTCTTCCTGATTATGATCCTCGGTCTGTCATCACTGTATCACTTCCTCAGGGCTTTAACGAAGTTATACACGTTAAAGACATTCAAGTCTTTGTGTTTTTTCCAAGAGCGTAATAAAGCTGAAATGCTGTTAAAATGGCCTCATACCTCAACTTAAATCATTCGCTCGAATCAGAACATTTCATGTCTGTGTTTGATATTTTCTACAAATACCACTACTATTCTACTGTCCCTTGGAGATTCTGGGTTAGAATTGATCTTCAGCAACCCATGCTTGTCTGAAGAGGCGACAGACGGGATCGGGTGGTCAGGCTCGCTGACTTGGTTGATGCATGTCATCGTATCCCAATTACTTGGATCGATGCTCATGATGTCAATCATTGGATTTTCGGGTCCAGATACAAACAAACTATTCTACTTGTTATGTTATATTACCTGAATCTATGGTCATGAAGTCATGGATGCTCCTCGAGAACTCTTCCACACTCACGTTCGAATCACCTGAAATTGTTGAAGTTGTCAGTCAGACTTTATTCGTCAAGCGAGAGGAATATACATTTTCACAATAAATGACAGGAACACTTAAGTAATGCCAGTGTTTGTGAAACATCAAAATCGCGTGTATAAAGGTGTACATTGTCATTAAATGAATTGTAAGTGTGTTTTACCATTTTCATCAGCAAGTGAAAGAAGATCCTCGGCTGCCCGTCTTTCCATCAGTTCCTCAGCTTCTGATTGGTCAATATTGCCATCCTTGTTCTTATCAAGCTCGTCAGTGTTTCGTTTGCCTAGGGCAGCTGCAAACAACAATGTACATTTGTCAACAGAATGTCCTTCCAGCATCAAATGTCATATTGTAATGTTCATAAACACACACTTAGTGTCTTTTTAGTTCCACTTTGTACACATTGATCTAACATGATAACTTATTATTTAAATATTTGATTTTTCGTAAGAAGATCCGCTGATAGTGAATTTTTAAAAAGTGGTAACGTCTACGACAGACGTTCATTTGGACTTCTACAACTGAAATAACATTCCAAGCTGCTCTAACACAAGTAATTTACTCAATCATTTGTGTTAACACGCCGTAACTAGGACAGAAGGCATCACACTTACTGCTGACTTATTGGACATATGACATTTTCGAAATCTAAATATTGTATTAGGTGTGTTATTCTCAAAGCGTCAGGTATATTTCGAGATATATTTGACATTTTTACACCATTCCTCTGTTGACAATATTTAGGGTTAGGGTTAGAGTTAGGCTAAATGCACATTGATGTCCCATCAGCTGTATTAAATACAATCTTTAATATGTTGCACATTCGTAACTTGCCATCCAACTCTGTCGCACGGGTGAGAGAAAATCTCTAAGTCTCCAACTGTAATCTTGTATAGGGCAAGCAATGTCTATTTCTTGTTTTACGGATATTGTGTGAAAACTCAGGGTGGACAGGTTGGAATGAAAGAAAGTAAAGAAGGAACAGTATGGGTGGTCTTCAATTGCTTCTTCGTTCTAGCAACGCAAGTTCCTTTTGGCGGAAAATGTCAATAACACTCTTCATTTTTTTCCAGTTGCCGTTTTAATTATGGTGGACGAAATCCGTAAACCCATTTTTTTCTAAAGTTACCCTAAACGTAATTGTACATCTAACCCGTTTGGGAGAGTTTATTCCTGTTCTTACCGACTGCTGGGTTGATGATGTGTCTGTATCTCCTGTAAACCCGGAACACCCGAATTGCGCCGTTAATTATTCGCCTGCCCCTGATCCGGATCCAACTCCTTCTTCTTCTCCCCCAGGCGTCCGACTCCGGGAGCACCACCAGGGCCACGAGCAGGAGGACAAGGAACAGACGCATCCTGATGAACTGATACTATCTGCGTGACATTAAGATAATTCTGGCTGTTACCAATGCAATCACCAGCGGAACAAAATACTGGCAATCGTTTTTTTCTCTTGTATTTTAAAAGATAATACAGCATATTATATCAAACCTTTTAACAAAATATTCCTCGCCTTCAATTTACTTTGAATTTCTCATGAAACTTGTGATTAATGAGCACTTGAAACATCCATAAAAAAGAAAATAAAGCAACAAAACACTTTCCATATTCATAAGGAATCTCTGACAAAAACAGAGTTGGTTGTAAGATTCCGACTATATCATAAGCATGTGTTTATATACCAGGTGAGTGTATCCAGCCCCACCAGCAAGTCAATTGTTCACCAATAAAACACGGGAACAAATGGTAAAAGTCAAAATAAAGAATTGCATCAGTTTTGTCTCTGATACTGATTCGTCAAACTCCAGAGATTAAGTATACTCGATTATGTGATAAAACAGATTCCATTGGACTTAAAAGGCAAAATAGTGGTAATAATTACATGAATGCATAACTGAAAGTCACTGTTGACACCTGGGTCCACTTGCACAAAGCGATCTTAGTGCTAAGACTATTGTAAGCCTATGTTAAAGTATGGGAGTTACGATCATCTTAGCGCTAAGATCGCTTTGTGCAAGCGGGCCCTGGTGTTGGCGAAAAGTGTAAACATGTTCTGCTCTAGCGGAGCCACCCGTCATTCATACAATTTGCATAAGAAAGTAAGCAGTTGTTGCCTGTCGCCACACAGCAGTATTGTTGCCATGCGACGGGAGCTTATGAACAAACACGACAGTCAAGTGATAGGCCAGAACATCGAGTGACGCGATGTCACATTTACTGATTTGCTTAAAGAAAAATTATATATTAATTTAGAATTTCTTCGGCTGTGTTCAAGTACAGAGATTTTCCATTATTAGAAATAAAACATTTAAAGGTTACTTACCCGAATCAGACAGATGAAGCAGCTGCTTTAGCTTGGATAAATGCGCTGCTTATATTTATTTAGATTTACAATGAAGACTTGTTAAAAGCAACAGGAAAACACACTCCAAAACATCAAGATAACATCTCAGTAGAACGCCTTGTGATTGGTGGATTCGTTGTGCATCTCTAGCATCGTGACTTGTAACAGTTGGGAGAGATGGATGTCAGTGCCATATTTTGATGTAATGCGATAAGCATGATAGGATTTTGCGCTGTCTAATGGAACTAATGATATTTTCACACGTTCACAACGAGATGACTAGATTCCTGGGGTGAAGTGGCAGATCCTACTAATGGTGATGGCCCTCTGTCACACCAGCAATGTCTGATGGCAACAGTAGTTCATACCCTTACTATCGAATAAATACGTTATTAAAGAAAAGGAGAAGACAGTCGGAAGAATCTTAATATTTCCAAAATTGAAAGAAATATTTGTTTCTAGTAATAGTTGTATGATTTTTGGGGAACACATTACATCCGATAGCAACGTATGACTACCATTATCACTACTATGGATACTTGAACAGAAGGAAACAGTTGTTCTTGGTTGGGTTGGCATAGCTCGTCCAAATACACTCGATTAATGTGGAAGTGCTCGCCCAAACACACCCGTTGCGCATGTTCTTTTTTTGGGGGTAAATCTCGTGCGTGTCATGCTGATGTGACGGACCACTACGTTGAACGGGGTAACATGTGAAAGTTGACATTTATTCGTTGTGGGATGAAGACGTCCTCTGAGCTCCAGTCAGGAGATTGCCTTTGCTAATACTAGAATTAACTTCCATTATCCACTTTATAACAGAAAGTGGTCAATTATTCACTTTTGATGAATATATAGAAACATTTCATTTTGGGGCGATTTGGTTAGTGTGGCAATGACGGTTTGTGTTTCTGTCTTTAGTTTAATTAAAATGTTCGACATGATATTTTTGACTTGTTGTTTACTTAACGGGGGATAACGTGCCTCATTCCCGATACTAATACCTCAAACACTACTACTACAACAACTACTACTACTACTACTACTACTAGTATTCCACTACAACAACTACTACTACCACTACTACTGGCTGTTTTTCTGGGCAGCTTGGGGCCAGTATCATGTGAAATATGTAAACATCAACATGGTATCTCATGGTGAGTGGGATGCAACTATAAAACAAACACACGTTTTCTGGTTTAGTTTGTTTGGGACGATTGTCTGATTTGAGCTATTTCCGATTTTCAATTTTAGTTTTGTTCAAGCATCTGTGATTAAGTATGCCCTGAAATCTTAAATCTGCAAAGTTGCTAACTTCACTTGACCTTTAAGGGAATAAAGGAAGGACTGGTTGGCAGATATGGTTGGCATGATACTGTGTCTGAGCGTGGTAAACACAGACACACACAGACACACACAGACACACACAGACACACACACAGACACAGAGACACACACAGAGACACACACAGAGACACACACAGAGACACACACAGAGACAGACACAGAGACAGACACAGAGACAGACACAGAGACAGACACAGAGACAGACACAGAGACAGACACAGAGACAGACAGAGACAGACACAGAGACAGACACAGAGACAGACACAGAGACAGACACAGAGACAGACACAGAGACAGACACAGAGACAGACACAGAGACAGACACAGAGACAGACACAGACACAGACACACACAGACACAGACACACACAGACACAGACACACACAGACACAGACACACACAGACACACACACACACACACAAATGGATCGCTACTCATTATGTCAATGTCATATAGCTGGGAAATTGCTGAGTACGGCGTTTAACTTGAAGAGACAAACAATCCAAACCAGAAACCGTGTTTGTTTTATAGTTGCATCCCACTCACCATGAGATACCATGTTGATATTTACATATTTCACATGATACTGGCCCTAAGCTGCCCAGAAAAAACAGCGAACAGTAGCAGCAGCAGCAGCAGCAGCAGCAGCAGCAGCAGCAGCAGTTGTAGTAGTAGTAGTAGTAGTAGTAGTAGTGTTAGTAGTAGTGTTAGTAGTAGTGAGTAGAAGTAGTGAGTAGAAGTAGTGAGTAGTAGTAGTGAGTAGTAGTGAGTAGTAGTAGTAGTAGTAATGAGTAGTAGTAGTAGTAGTGAGTAGTAGTAGAAGTGAGTGAGTAGTAGTAGTGAGTGAGTAGTAGTAGTGAGTGAGTAGTAGTAGTGAGTGAGTAGTAGTAGTAGTAGTGAGTAGTAGTAGTGAGTAGTAGTAGTGAGTAGTAGTAGTGAGTAGTAGTAGTAGTAGTAATGAGTAGTAGTAGTAGTAGTGAGTAGTAGTAGTGAGTAGTAGTAGTAGTAGTAATGAGTAGTAGTAGTAGAAGTGAGTGAGTAGTAGAAGTGAGTTAGTAGTAGTAGTGAGTGAGTAGTAGTAGTGGTAGTAGTAGTGAGTAGTAGTGAGTAGTAGTGGTAGTAGTGAGGAGTAGTGGTAGTAGTGAGGTGTAGTGGTAGTAGTGGTAGCAGTGAGGAGTAGTGGTAGTATTGATAGTAGTGAGGAGTAGTGGTAGTAGTAAGGTGTAGTGGTAGCAGTGAGGAGTAGTGAGGAGTAGTGGTAGTAGTGAGGAGTAGTGGTAGTAGTGAGGAGTAGTGAGGAGTAGTGGTAGTAGTGAGGAGAAGTGGTAGTAGTGAGGAGTAGTGGTAGTAGTGAGGAGTAGTGGTAGTAGTGGTAGTAGTGAGGAGTAGTGGTAGTAGTGAGGAGTAGTGGTAGTAGTGAGGGGTGGTGAGTGGTGGTGGGTCGTGGTTGTATGGAGTAGTAGTGGTAGTGAGGAGTAGTAGTGGTAGTGAGGAGTACTTGTGGTAGTGAGGAGTGGTAGTTAGTAGTGAGTAGTGGTAGTGAGGAGTAGTAGTGGTAGTGAGGAGTATTTGTGGTAGTGAGGAGTAGTAGTGGTAGTGAGGAGTGGTAGTGAAGAGTACTTGTGGTAGTGAGGAGTAGTAGTGGTAGTGAGGAGTAGTTCGTGAGGAGTAGTAGTGGTAGTGAGGAGTACTTGTGATAGTGAGGAGTAGTAGTGGTAGTGAGGAGTAGTAGTGGTAGTGAGGAGTACTTGTGGTAGTGAGTAGTAGTAGTAGTAGTGGTAGTGAGGAGTAGTTGTAGTAGTGGTAGTGAGGAGTAGTAGTAGTAGTGGTAGTGAGTAGTAGTAGTAGTGAGTAGTAGTAGTGAGTAGTAGTAGTAGTGAGTAGTAGTGAGTAGTAGTAGTAATGAGTAGTAGCAATAGTGAGTAGTAGTAATAGTGAGTAGTAGTAGTAGTGAGTAGTAGTAGTAGTGAGTAGTAGTGAGTAGTGGGTAGTAGTAGTTGGTAGTAGTAGTGGGTAGTAGTAGTGGGTAGTAGTAGTTGGTAGTAGTTAGTAGTTAGTAGTAGTTAATAGTAGTAGTAGTTAGTAGTAGTTAGTACTTAGTTAGTAGGTAGTAGTAGTTAGTAGGTAGTTAGTAGGTAGTAGTAGTTAGTAGGTAGTAGTAGTTCGTAGGTAGTAGTTAGTAGTAGTAGTAGTTTGTAGTAGTAGTTAGTAGTAGTAGTTAGTAGTAGTAGTTAGTAGTAGTAGTTAGTAGTAGTTAGTAGTAGTAGTTGGTAGCAGTAAGTAGTTAGTAGTAGTAGTTAGTAGTAGTAGTTAGTAGTGGTTAGTAGTAGTGCTTAGTAGTTAGTAGTAGTAGTTAGTAGTAGTAGTTAGTAGTAGTTTGTAGTAGTAGTTAGTAGTAGTTAGTAGTAGTAGTTAGTAGTAGTGGTTAGTAGCAGTAGTAAGTAGTAGTTAGTAGCAGTAGTTAGAAGTAGTTGGTAGTAGTTGGTAGTAGTTAGTAGTAGTAGTTAGTAGTAGTAAGTAGTAGTAGTAGTTAGTAGTAGTTAGTAGTAGTTAGTAGTAGTAGTTAGTAGTAGTAGTTAGTAGTAGTTAGTAGTAGTAGTTAGTAGTAGTTAGTAGTAGTGTTTGAGGTATTAGTTTCTGTAGTAGTGGTTGTCATACTTTGCTATCGGATGTAATGTGTCCCCTTTTTATCATACAACTATGACTAGAAACTAATATTTCTTTCAATTTTGGAAATATTAAGATTCTTCCGACTGTCTCATTCTTTTCTTTAATAATGTATTTATTCGATAGTAAGGGTATGAACTACTGTTGCCATCAGACATTGCTTGTGTGACAGAGGGCCAACACCATCAGTAGGATCTGCCACTTCACCCCAGGAATCTAGTCATCTCGTTGTGAACGTGTTAAAATATCATTAGTTCCATTAGACAGCGCAAAATTATATCATGCTTATCGCATTACATCAAAATATGGCACTGACATCCATCTCTCCCAACTGTTACAAGTCACGATGCTAGAGATGCACAACGAATCCACCAATCACAAGGCGTTCTACTGAGATGTTATCTTGATGTTTTGGAGTGTGTTTTCCTGTTGCTTTTAACAAGTCTTCATTGTAAATCTATATAAATATAAGCAGCGCATTTATCCAAGCTAAAGCAGCTGCTTCATCTGTCTGATTCGGGTAAGTAACCTTTAAATGTTTTATTTCTAATAATGGAAAATCTCTGTTCTTGAACACAGCCGAAGAAATTCTAAATTAATATATAATTTTTCTTTAAGCAAATCAGTAAATGTGACATCGCGTCACTCGATGTTCTGGCCTATCACTTGACTGTCGTGTTTGTTCATAAGCTCCCGTCGCATGGCAACAATACTGCTGTGCGGCGACAGGCAACAACTGCTTACTTTCTTATGCAAATTGTATGAATGACGGGTGCCTCCGCTACAGCAGAACATGCTTACACTTTTCGCCAACACCAGGGCCCGCTTGCACAAAGCGATCTTAGCGCTAAGATGATCGTAACTCCAATACTTTAACATAGGCTTACAATTTATTCTTAGCACTAAGATCGCTTTGTGCAAGTGGACCCAGGTGTCAACAGTGACTTTCAGTTATGCATTCATGTAATTATCACCACTATTTTGCCTATTAAGTCCAATGGAATCTGTTTTATCACATAATCGAGTATACTTAATCTCTGGAGTTTGACGAATCAGTATCAGAGACAAAACTGATGCAATTCTCTATTTTGACTTTTACCATTTGTTCCCGTGTTTTATTGGTGAACAACTGACTTGCTGGTGGGGCTGGATACGCTCACCTGGTATATAAACACATGCTTATGATATAGTCGGAATCTTACAACCAACTCTGTTTTTGTCAGAGATTCCTTATGAATATGGAAAGTGTTTTGTTGCTTTATTTTCTTTTTTATGGATGTTTCAAGTGCTCATTAATCACAAGTTTCATGAGAATTTCAAAGTAAATTGAAGGCAAGGAATATTTTGTTAAAAGGTTTGATATAATATGCTGTATTATCTTTTAAAATACAAGAGAAAAAACCGATTGCCAGTATTTTGTTCCGCTGGTGATTGCATTGGTAACAGCCAGAATTATCTTAATGTCACGCAGATAGTATCAGTTCATCAGGATGCGTCTGTTCCTTGTCCTCCTGCTCGTGGCCCTGGTAGTGATCCCGGAGTCGGACGCCTGGGGAAGGAGAAGAAGAAGTTGGTTCAGGGGCAGGCGAATAATTAACGGCGCAGTTCGGGTGTACCGGGTTTACAGGAGATACAAACACATCATCAACCCAGCAATCGGTAAGAACAGGAATAACTCTCCCAAACGGGTTAGATGTACAATTACGTTTAGGGTAACTTTAGAAAAAAATGGGTTTACGGATTTCGTCCACCATAATTAAAACGGCAACTGGAAAAAAATGAAGAGTGTTATTGACATTTTCCGCCAAAAGGAACTTGCGTTGCTAAAACGAAGAAGCAATTGAAGACCACCCATACTGTTCCTTCTTTACTTTCTTTCATTCCAACCTGTCCACCCTGAGTTTTCACACAATATCCGTAAAACAAGAAATAGACATTGCTTGCCCTATACAAGATTACAGTTGGAGACTTAGAGATTTTGTCTCACCCGTGCGACAGAGTTGGATGGCAAGTTACGAATGTGCAACATATTAAAGATTGTATTTAATACAGATGATGGGACATCAATGTGCATTTAGCCTAACTCTAACCCTAACCCTAAATATTGTCAACAGAGGAATGGTGTAAAAATGTCAAATATATCTCGAAATATACCTGACGCTTTGAGAATAACACACCTAATACAATATTTAGATTTCGAAAATGTCATATGTCCAATAAGTCACAGCAGTAAGTGTGATGTCTTCTGGGCAAATATGTCCTAGTTACGGCGTGTTAACACAAATGATTGAGCAAATTACTTGTGTTAGAGCAGCCTGGAATGTTATTTCAATTGTAGAAGTCCAAATTAACGTCTGTCGTAGACGTTACCACTTTTTAAAAAATCACTTTCAGCGGATCTTCGCACGATTAGGGGCGAAAAATCAAATATTTAGATAATAAGTTATCATGTTAGATCAATGTGTACAAAGTGGAACTTAAAAGACACTAAGTGTGTGTTTATGAACATTACAATATGACATTTGATGCTGGAAGGACATTCTGTTGACAAATGTACATTGTTGTTTGCAGCTGCCCTAGGCAAACGAAACACTGACGAGCTTGATAAGAACAAGGATGGCAATATTGACCAATCAGAAGCTGAGGAACTGATGGAAAGACGGGCAGCCGAGGATCTTCTTTCACTTGCTGATGAAAATGGTAAAACACGCTTTGCTATTCATTTAATGACAATGTACACCTTTATACACTTGATTTTGATGTTTCACTAAACACTAGCATTACTTAAGTGTTCCTGTCATTTACTGTGAAAATGTATATTCCTCTCGCTTGACGAATAAAGTCTGACTGACAACTTCAACAATTTCAGGTGATTCGAACGTGAGTGTGGAAGAGTTCTCGAGGAGCATCCATGACTTCATGACCATAGATTCAGGTAATATAACATAACAAGTTGAATAGTTTGTTTGTATCTGGACCCGAAAATCCAATGATTGACATCATGAGCATCGATCCAAGTAATTGGGATACGATGACATGCATCAACCAAGTCAGCGAGCCTGACCACCCGATCCCGTCTGTCGCCTCCCACACAAGCATGGGTTGCTGAAGATCAATTCTAACCCAGAATCTTCAAGGGACAGTAGAATAGTAGTGGTATTTGTAGAAAATATCAAAAACACAGACATGTAATGTTCTGATTCGAGCGAATGATTTAGGTTGAGGTATGAGGCCATTTTAACAGCATTTCAGCTTTATTACGCTCTTGGAAAAAACACAAAGACTTGAATGTCTTTAACGTGTATAACTTCATTAAAGCCCTGAGGAAGTGGTACAGTGATGACAGACCGAGGATCATAATCAGGAAGAATCGGATACCGAGACCAGCTGATCCTGGATCTTTGAACCACTGGGCCACCCCAGACCCTGATTATTGATTTGAAGGACGACAAACATAGTTGACACACGTGTATTATTTTATACTGTCAATTGTTTCCTTTCAGACCCACTGTTGCAAAAACAACTTGCAGAAGAGTTTGCTGATGCATTTGAGGATGATGCGGAATAAAGCGCCCGATCAACATCTTTATGAAATGATTTCAATAAAAAGATTCTTGCAAACGTAAACTGTCTCCTGTGCTGTTGATTATCAATTAAACTATATTAGGCACTAGAGGTGCACCCAAAAATCGTTTCAGAATCCGCTGGACGATGTTCCTAGAAACATCAAGGAGATTTGCAGGAGAACCTTGAGCCGTTTTAAATAGAATGGGCAACAATTGTGCTCCTCTTCTTGCGGATCTGTTTCTTTATGCAAATGCCCTGATTGGCAAAGTCAAAACAAAGTAATTTCGCTAAGAAGTTTCAGGTATATCGATGATCTGATATCGTTCAATAAGAATCAAATAGCCAATTCCTTTACACTGATCTACCCACCTGAACTAGAAATAAAAGAGACCAGTACGAGTAGAGAGGCATAGCCAGTTACAGTTAGAATCGAGTCTGTGAATTCTATATATCTATTGACATAGCCCGGTATCATTAGCATGTGACATAATAATAAATAACAATTTGCACAGTCTTCGAGGGTCTGTCACATCATTTGATTGACACTTTAAAGAAATTCGGATTGGTTAAAAATATTTTTTTTCATGAACCTATTTCTTTCATTTTTATTTTTTTTTACACCAGAAAATGTAATGAAATTCGTCACCGAGTTTGCTTGTAGAAGTATGACAAAGTTTCATATGGTATTTTATGGATTGAGGTTTTATATTATAACAATATGGTTTTATTCTCTGTGCCAAGTTTAGTCTGTGGCCATGAAATATTACAATGTGATTTCACTCAAAGGTAGGTGACACCACGAGTTGTAAATAATCATGTCTAAACCAGTAAATCCGGGTTAGAATATAGCTTCAGCAACCCGTGCTTGCCGTAAAAGGGGACTATGCTTGTCATAAGAGGCGACTGACGGGATTGGGTCAGGCTGGCTGCCTTAGTTGATGCATGTCATCGTCTTCCAATGGTATGGCTCGATGCTCATGATGTCAATTGCTGGATTGTCTGGTCCAGACTCAATTACAGACAGCCGTCATTTAGCTGGAATGTTGCCGAATGCGGCGATTAACAACAGACACACAAACTAAACCAGAAAACGTTTTTCTGGGCAGCTTGGGGCCAGTATCATGTGAAATATGTAAACATCAACATGGTATCTCATGGTGAGTGGGATGCAACTATAAAACAAACACACGTTTTCTGGTTTAGTTTGTTTGTCTGTTGTTAAACGTCGCATTCGGCAACATTCCAGCTATATGACGGCTGTTTGTAAATAATCGAGTCTGGACCAGACAATCCAGCGATTGACATCGTGATCCATACGCATTTGATGTAATGCGATAAGCATGATAGAAGTTTGTGCTTTGTAATGGATCTAATGAAATTTTAACACGTTCACAACGAGAACGTTACATGCGATAGTAACGTATGACAACCACTACCACTACTACGGAAACTAATACCCTAAACACTGAAGGACTGGTTGGCAGATGGCCATTATACTGTGTCTGAGTGTGGTAAACAGTGTCATACAACATGGTGTCCTGGAGGACTCTTGCTTAAAAAACCAGCATACACTTGTACAAGCACACACACACACATACACACATACACACACACACACACACAAAACACGCACGCACGCACGCACGCACGCACGCACGCACGCACGCACACACACACACAGACAGACAAACACACATATATTTCTTATATTTATTTAGATTTACAATGTAGACTTCTTAAAAGAAACAGGAAAACAGACTCCAAAACAACAAGATAATATCTCAGTAGAACGCCATGTGATTGGTGGATTCGTTGTGCATCTCTAGCATCGTGACTTGTAACAGTTGGGAGAGATTGATGTCAGTGCCATATTTTGATGTAATGCGATAAGCATGATAGAATTTTACGCTGTGTAATGGAACATTGTGATATCTAATGATATTTTCACACGTTCACAACGAGATGACTAGATTCCTGGGGTGAAGTAGCAGATCCTACTAATGGTGTTGGCCCCCTGTCACACCAGCAATGTCCGATGGCAACAGTAGTTCGTACCTCAAACACTACTACTACAACTACTACTACTACTTCCACTACAACAACAACAACTACTACTACCACTACTACTTGCTGTTTTTCTGGGCAGCTTGGGGCCAGTATCATGTGAAATATGTAAACATCATCATGGTATCTCATGGTGAGTGGGATGCAACTATAAAACAAACACACGTATTCTGGTTTAGTTTGTTTGTCTGTTGTTAAACGCCGCATTCAGCAATATTCCAGATATATGACGGCTGTCTGTAAATAATCGAGTCTGGACCAGACAATCAAGCAATTGACATAATGATCATCGAGCCATACAATTGGAATACGATGACATGCATCAACGACCCACGCTGTCGGGGAGTACTGACCACCTGATCACTTTATTACTTCTAATGACCAGCATATAGGTTGCAGTGACCTATACTAACACGGATTCCCCACGAAACTAATGTTCTGACGACTAACAGTGGAATACACAGGGGAGATAACCACTTGAAATAGCTCCAGATTATTAAAATATTTCTGGATAATCTTGGACTATCAATATCTGGCAATCCTAAAATATTATTTCACTCAGATGATTTAAAGATGCAGTTAATATACGAGTTTCTGAAATATATGATAAAACAAATATCTTCCTCTAGTGGTGTCACCTACCTTTGTGTGAAATCACATTGGAATATTTCATGGCCACAGACTAAACTGGGCACAAAGAATAAACCATATTGTTATAATATAAAACCTCAATCCATAAAATACAATATTAAAAACTGGTCGCTGGGAAAATAGTCCCCACAACCAAACATTTTGTCATACTTGTCCAAGCTAAATCGGTGACGAATTTCATTACATTTTCTGATGTATAACAAACAAATGAAAGAAATAGGTACATGTAAAAATATTTTGTCACCAACCCGAATTTCTTTAAAGTGTCAATTAAATGATGTGACAGACCTTCGAAAACTGTGCAAATTGTTATTTATTATTATGTCACATGCTAATGATACCGGGCTATGTCAATAGATATATAGAATTCACAGACT